TTATTGTACAAAAAATCATTTTTGTTTTTAGCTTGTTCTCTATCCATCTCTTGCAAAATGTGAACATTTTATTTCAAGTCAAAAGTTGGCAAAAGTGTTACACTAGTGTTACATTACGTAGTAAGTAGGGAGCTTGGATGGTCGAATGGTTAGTGTGCGTGCTGTATCATAAGACCATTATGTTAGTCCCGAAATGACCTAGTTTGTGTCGAGTGGACGTTAAACCCCATTTTTCTCTCTCTCTCTCTCTCTCTCTCTCTCTCTTTCTCTCTTACACGGCTTTTGGCCTCTGCTATACATAATCGATCACCAACTAAATTCTCTCTCTGTATTCCAGGGTGAGTCCAAAAGAACCCAGGGAATTTACCAGCCTGCTTCAGACGTGCCAGGGAATGACAAGTAAAGTGTTGTTCGAATAGAAGAATTGAGGTCCAGTCGTGTGTGTCAGAGAGCACTTGACAGTTGGAATTCGGAATGATAAATATTTATAATCTAATTATGAACAACAATAGTTTTCGTCGCTATTTCTGATTCACCACCATGCATGTACGGTCAATTACAAATCGTGGCCTTAGGCTAATGTTTGAATAATCAACGAAGCAAATCTCGTATAATTTTATGGTTCACCGTCTCGGCTCCATTTAATAACCAGTGACTGTCTTTTTTCCCCTTGGCCCTTTTAGTTCAATGTACAAAGACCAGCCAATTATTTTATCCGGTGATATTGTCGATTCTTTGTCGAACTCTATGAATGCGATTTTTTGGCGACTAAATTTTAATAACCGCCAAAAAATCGCATTCATAGAGTTCGACAAAGAATCGACAATATCACCGGATAAAATAATTACTAACATATCGTCTACCACGGTCATTTTAGTTATTAAACGGACTATGTTATTTAACCTTTGGGTGATGACGTTGTCTGCGATAGACTGTAACAGGGACTTGTCCAAACTGATCAGCAGTGAATATTCGCTAGACCGCTAATATAACTGAAAGAGATGACATCGGTGTGGATTATCTCAAAATATTATTTTTTTTCTTCTGCAAATTAAAGTCTAGAACATGTCTTTTTTGAAGTATTAGAAAAATAAATAAAGGTGTTTAAAGTATATCTGGATAAAGGAAAAAATATTTCCTATTAAAGGGCAATATTGGTGTCAATCATTATCACATATGTCATAGAACTTGTTAAGCACGTTCCAAATATAATTTTAACACAGAGATCGTTGCTACGATAGATGCGTTATGAAGATTTCTACAAAAGGAATTGAACTATAAGTAAGCATAAATTTGCCCATTTATCTGTTATCACTCGTCACTTCAGTCAGTTATATAGAGGATAACTCGTGTTTTTCTTTTGCGTTTGTCACTTCCGTTTGTTGAACACTTGATTACTCATCTATCGTAGCAATGATCTCTGTGTTAAAATTATATTTGGAACGTGTTAAACCAGTTCTATCACATATTTGATAATGACTGACACCAATATTGTCCTTTAAATATAAAGGGTATATAAAATGAGTAAAGGGCACCATTCTGCCCGCACCAGTTTACGCTACCACATCTTCAGTAAACAATGCACGCGCTATCGTGCCAATTATCGACGCCATGTGCTGTGACATCTAGCGCTGAAGGCATTTGAACATATAAAGGTCAATCATCTTACACAGAGTTAGAAGAAGGTTTTTGAATTTACCTATGTGGATTGTAAAACAGATTTGAACTTGTCGCTATATTAAAGTTTCAAAAAATAACCGATTTGCCTCAGAATATTGAGCCGTTTGGAATGATCGTTAAATCAATTTATAGGACGTACTTAACCCTGTTAGACCATTCGTGGGTGGGGTGTGTCTAGTGGTCTCATGTCTTGTATTGGACTGAATTGGACTGAGATCATTATAACTTTCTAGTGTCATTTTCTTTACTTACTGAAGCATAATGAAGCATTATTACTACTATAAATCATAAATGACATGAACATACGGAGCCTACCCGAGCCTACCCTGTTGTGGGACAAAAAATAAGTACATAGGCCGGGTCTAGCCCCCAAAACACTCCTGCCTCCATATCGTCCAGTTTCCTCCCACTGTTAAAATCCTTATGCGCAAGTGAATTGCTGAAATAGGATTTAACATATTATGTTAATCGCGAAGTGACCTAGTTTGTGCCGAGTGGACGGTAAACCCAAGGTTTAGATCACCCCTTTCTCGTGATCTTATGATCTAAAGCGCATATTGTTAGACATTTAGCCACTTGCAATCAATTTTTCATTTCGTGACCAGATAAACATGATTATTCGATACCATATTATAATCTGTGCCACAAGAACGGTTAAAGCACAGCAATAACTTGTTAATTCTGTTACTCGCTGAAAAGGGTTTATCGAGGTATAATACAGGGTGCACGTTGCAAAGAAGCTCGTCTCTAATTTCACATAGACATTGGCATTCTTTTAAAAATAAGTATCACAGAGGTTTACATTGTTCCTTGGGACTAGAATGGCGGGTTCTTGACATATACTTGCGATTTCTCCTTTAGCAATATTCATATTGATTCTGTATAATCGCAGATAATCGCTTCCGGGCTCTGAAACAGCAGGTCGTGAGTTCAGACAGTATTATTTACAAATGAATGTGATATATACATACAATAAACATTACCAATGAAACCAAGTCAATAAGTTGTGAATACAGGTTACACCTGGTATTGTACATAATTATAATCCTAAAAAGATAATAATATTATAACCTTTAAACATGCATTACGCAAGAGCTAAATCTTCCTATTGCAAGTCTTTCTTTAGGCCTGAGATGTTATCTTAATTATTAATTAGACATTAATTAACTAACGAACAACCATAATCAACTTTCGATGTCATCGGATGCCTGCGATATTTAGGGGGTAAAAAACAAATACGATTTGTGCTGAATGCGGTTATCGTAAAAATGGATAATCGAGACTTTGTTTATTATCGTCACAACGATATTAATGACAATCGAGACTAGCCTACTGACAACGACAGCTGTCTAGTCGTTCGGATGGGATGAAAAACCGAGGTCCTGTGTACACATTGGCGTGCACGTAAAAGATTTCTTGATAGTTGGAATTCGATATAAGAGTAGGCGTAGTGCTGTTGTCCGGGCAAAATTTCCCTCATAGCACACAGCGTGGCGTATGCCCGTTTTAATTATCTCAGTCGGAGTAGAACAGTAGGACGTTTTAATTATCCCAGTCGGAGCAGAACAGTAGGACGTTAAACCCCATTTCATTTCATTTCATTGCGAACATGGTAACTGTGTATCTTTAGTATGTCGATGTAAGCGATTTAAATTTGATACAACGCCACATGTCTAAAATGGCCGTGATATCATAATCAGTTTCTGGGTCATAGTACGCCCCTTCATGTTAGAATCTGATTTTGTTCAGTAGGACTTATCTGAATTGGCAGGCCGTGTATGTTTTAATTTCATTATCGTAGAGTAATTAGCATTTTACTGAAAAATTATTCTGGGATACTGGGGCTTTAAAAACGTATTCGAACAGTGATAAAGTAAATCTAACGACACCTCTTTAATATCAAAGCTTTTATCGTATCTTATCTACTTTTGCTTTTAATCATCTAAATTATTATCTTCAGGTGACTAGAATTAGAGTCACCTGTCCAACACCGTGGGTTCTCACTATTAAAGAACCATACCCGCAAATGAACAATCTGGTTAAAACAGAGATCCTATTTCGTTTCGTTTTTATAGTTCAAAATTTTGTTTTACTTGTCTTTACCACACTTGCTAGTGTAGGCCATCGAAAGTATAAAAAACGAAACGAAATATAGATCTGTATTTTAATCAGATTGGCAAAGGAATTATTGAAATAAATTGAGCCGTTTTAAGTTAGTTCTGAGATGCCTTATAATGTGCCTAGTGGACGTTAAACCCTATTACTCTCACTGTATTATCTTCAGAACACATAAGTGCATATTTTTTGTCTTTAATCTAATGTTGTAAAAGGTTTAGGTAGGGGAGATAAATTTTCATTTTATTCTTACACAATTTAAAGAGTTTGTGGGGAACAAGGAGGCACTCTATATATTAAATATCAAAGTTTAATCTACATCACATTACGTTTAATAGAAACCTTTAAGCAAACTACATCTATTGAAATGGGTTTTAATTGTCTATGGTATATGTCTATTGGTGTATATCAAAAATATATAAGATGCCGTATTGTGTTTACACTTTCGAGGCTATATTTTTATTTATATGACGTATTTTTTAAAAATTTGTAAAGGATATTTATCTCTATATATTGTATATTTTCATCTAGTTAATGTCCCCTGGCCTGATGCCTGAAATTACATAGACTAGATTAGTTTTCTCTCTTAATGTAAATAGTTTTGTGGCTATTGTTATCGTTCGCTTACTCCTCATCATTTCAATGATATCTTATTCATATAGCAACATCAGAGGAAAATGGAATAATAAAGAATAATGTAAAACGAGTAGAAAAATCTATTGTATTATCGATATACATTAATTATTTAGTCAACGATCGAATGAAATTGGAATTATTTGCTCTAAAAATCTTTTAGCTTGATTGACGCTATAAATTATGTAAACGGAATTCCCCAAAATATTCGATCAACAAAATTACATTTAATTTATATTTTATACCAATAGCCATAAACATTCAAATAAATACAAATTCTGTTATTTGTGTTGCTTTCAGACAGATTGTCTGCCTGCGATTAGCGACTAGTTCTTCTCCAAAGAGCGCATTTATTATTAATGACACTGACGATCAACCGCCGGAAATTCGGTAAACAGAACTACTTTAATATGCTGAGCTGTAAATAATTAATGCGCCGCTCGAACACTAATGTTAATAATTAATGAGCATGTATTCTCTACGTTCTATAGCAATATTCATTTAATTCCGATTGAACTTTTGCATCAATACTATTAATGTACATGTTGTTGAATAAAATCGGCAGTAGAGAAGAAGACTTTGAAAGACTATAATATATAGAAGACTACTAGTATCCTATCTATTTATGACAGTAGGTTAGTTTTTACTTATTTCTTATAGATGTATATATATACTTACATGATTATATTATATTGTCACAGTTTATAGGATTTCTGATATTTACTTATGTATAGTTCTATCTAGAAGGTTAGTTTGAAACATCATTTCTATGTTTGAACTTCTTAGCAATTTTAATTAACTGATTTTAAAATGTTAAATTCTGAATGACAGCGTAATGAACATGATTTACTGTATTTAGAAGAATTATCTCACAGTTAAAATCAGGTTTTTAGCAAATCGCTGTTTTCTCGGAATCAATCATAATTGATTCCTGAGATTGTTTCAATGTGTACATAGACCTTATATGTAAGACAAAATACATTCAGAGAGAAAATACGATTCCGGACTCGTCAAATTGATTTAAGTGTCAAGTGTCCGATAAATAAAGCAAAGTAATTTTTAAAATTTTCGGTTTTAGTCATGGACTGGTGGTCTAAAGCGTTGTGATGCGTATTGTATATGTGTGTGTGTCTTTGAGAGAGAGAGAGAGAGAGAGAGAGAGAGAATTGGCGTCCAATCGACACAGAGTAGTTCATTTCGGGATTAATATGTGTGTCTTTGGCGTAGGTTGAAGTCGCGGGCCATTGGACAAGAGTAGACCCCAGTCCTTAGCAAAAATAGAGAATTGACCAAACTATCGACTTGCAAAATTGATGGACAATGTTTAACGGTTCAACTGCTAGTCCTTTGGTTGTCTCAAGTGCGTTACTAAAGTGTCGATGGCCTCTATACGTGCTAGTGAGTTGTTGTGTTGGACCTGATTTATGGCGAATGGACGTTGTGTCAAATTGGCGTGCACGTAAAAGAACCCTTGACAGTTGGAATTCGATATGTTAGATAATATTTTGACCGGGTTGTTTCAAAGGAATTCATTTAAATGTAAACTTCAAATGGTCAAAACATACACAAGAGTTTATTGATTTGATCATTTTTGATTATGTTTAGGGAGGATTAAGGAGCTGGGGGTGGGGTGGGGGTATATTTCCCATTAACTTACAATTGTGATTGTTATATTTTAAATCACATGCTTAAAGTAGACTAAAAGACATATTAACACTGTAGGACCTAGAGGTCCCGTGTTCGGCCCCTGCATGGGCCGAGTATTCCGGCGTGGTTCCTCCTTGCAGGACGGAGAGCCTGGCAGAGGACAACGTATAGTCGTTCGGATGGGACGAAATACCAAGGTCCTGTGTATATATTGGCGTGCACGTAAAAGACCCCTTGACTGTTGGAAGTCGATATAAGAGTAGGAGTGCCACTGTCCGGGCAAAATTCCCATCATAATACACTGTATGACTTATGCCCGTCTTCATTAACCCAGCCGTTAAACCCCATTCCATGTCAGTTCATTTTAAACATTTGACTGGAATGATTATGATTTGAGAATAAAACCTCTGATACAGAAAGCGGGGGGGGGGGGGGTGAAGGTCCGAGCGGAATAACACCTACGTTTAAGATCGTGAGTTCTCTCTCTTAGGTTATCATTCCATAATGTATGTGTAAGTCACCATTCTGTCGATTGAATACCGATATTCCACCTCCAGGACAATCCTTTTTAAATTAATTATTTAATGCGGTCGTTTATTTTTGTTCATTAACGCAGATATAGAAATTACACATTCAGGTCCTCATCAATTATAGATAAATGGTTTAAATCAATAGGGATGAATATTGATTACTAGTAGCTATGTTTAGAACACAGACATATATAAACCCTTTGAAGATAAGATGGACATACACAATAGCTTACACGTACGTTTTTGTATATAATTGTTTATAAAACCTTTGCCCGTTTTAATTGGGTTCGATACCGGTCTTGGCCCAGTGCAATCTGGCCCAGCACCAAAAGCCTGGCAAATAAATAGAGTGTAGTCGGTCGGATGATAGGCAAAAACTGAACTCCATCCGTGTATTTTTTGGTGCGCACGAAAAGAACCGAATACAGTGAAATAGAATAGAGTTTAGCGTCTTCCTGTTCTGTACCGACTGGGTTAATGAAGATCGTGCACGCAAAAGACCCCCGGCAGTTATTAATCGATGATGAGTGGGCAGAAACGCCGCTCAACGACCAAAAGTAGGAAGTTAAACCAGATTTGATACATGTAAACACATGTTTAGCGTTTCATCAAAATCGGATAAAAATTGTGACCTCTAGACGGCCCACAACATCCATGATATTACATACTTTAACACTGTTTGCGGACAGGGAGCGGCCAATTTGTCCCGTAGTTTCGGTTCGATTTTCACATTTGACCTGAACCGTAATTATGGTGTAACGGTGATATATTTGAACGTGGTTTTCTTTTACATCGGAATTAAGTTTGGTGTATCAATTTGAGTTGTGATGTGGGTACTTTTCTGCATTTAAAACTTTAGGTCCACAGCTAGTGCCAGTGTTGAAATACGGGCGAGTTTGGATTAGACTGTCCACATGAATCCAAAAACGAACCTTAGTAGATGAATTCAACACTTTATTTTGACCTAAATCAAAGAAGCTAAATATAGCTCATTTGATATGAATTATGTTGTTATGCAAATAAACAAGACCGATGAAAAAAAAGCTAACAATTCCACGAAGAATAGACCGACTTTTTATTACTTTATTTGTCTGAGACATATCTGTAGAACAGCGCTTCATTCTACTCTTACGTCATTTTCCAACTGTCAGGGGATCTTTAATGTGCTGCCAGTGTTATACTAGTCCTCGGGTTGAATAAATTCAAATCCATGCAAACTATAAGGATAAGAATAAATATTCAACAGTTTTGATCGCGACCGAAAGACTTTGTTTTATAGTCAAAAAGAAGTAATGACCTGGGCCCTTATTCACAAAAACTTAACTAAGATAAAATCCAAATTTTAGTAATTTGATTGGATAATATTAGATTGATTTTAGTGCTTAGCCAATCAAAATTGAAGTATGTACTCAAATTTGGATTTTATCTTTAGTTAAGATTTCGTGAATCAGGGCCCTGCACCCCACCGAAAGCCATATGTATACATATTGGCAGATTTCATTTTTCTCGTTAAAATCAATACGAAAATTAAGAAAACTAGTCAAACCGTTTGGAATTGTCCCGGTGCACGAATCCGCCCATTATAATGTCCACGTGTTTCAATCTGATTAAAATACAGATCTATATTTCTTTTCGTTTTTTATACCTTCGATGGCCTCCACCACATAAAGATAGGACCGGTTGTAGTAGGGGTCGCGCCAGGGTCATACGAGCGGATTTTGACCCTATGACATCAGACATTAATTAAGCAATCAGCGTAGATTTGTCAAGTGGGTAGTTGGAAATATAAATTTAGCTTTTGGCTTTGTCTTCGCTGCGCATTTCTACCCACAGTTCCGTGCACCTCACGCCAAGAACTTGCCTCAACAGACAATTTCATTGACTAATCTCTCACATCAACCAGAACGCGGATAATATAACAACTCTTCCAGATCCTAGTGTAGTGAAGACAAGTAAAACAAAATTTTGAACTTTAAATAAAAAAAAAACGAAACGAAATAGGCTCTGTGTTTAATCAGATTGTACATGTTTTAAATAGAAGCCCTGTGGAATAGTCAGATAGCCTGGTTGGGTTTTTTCAAACATGGGGTTAATTAGTTCATTACTTCAATTTGATTAGATTTACTTATTAATGAAATTATAATAGCCTGCATTATACTAATTATCCAACACAATATATCCACGTTTTGACACACTACACTTCTAATATAACAATGAAACAAAATACATAACATTAAAAAGCTCAATTTAAGGAGGAAAATAACTACTACTCAACTAACCGAACTTGCGTTACTTTTTCAAACAAATCTAGTCATTCAGTTTAGTTAATGTCATATCATATTTTATCGAATTTAATCTTAAAATTAGTCATAGCATATTATTTCCATCAGTTTATTTTGTTCGAATTGTGTAGTCTGTCGTTCAGTTTTGATTTCATTAACCCGTCTTCATTAGCCCAGTCGGAGTTAAACCCAATTTCAGTTCTTGTAGTTCTTGTCGAGTTCATGAACTTTAACGTCCTACTTTTATTAGCCCAGTCGGAGTTTAACCCAATTTCAGTTCTGGTCGAGTTCATGAACTTTAACGTCCTACTTTTATTAGCCCAGTCGGGGTTAAACCCAACTTCAGTTCTTTTCGAGATCATTAACTTTAACGTCCTACTTTTCTGCAACGACATGGCTATTGCAGACTGTTCATTAACATAACATTTTCTTTTTTGTATTGTACTGATTACTTATTTAATCTTTGTAATACACCTATCCCACCCATCCACCATCCCTAATTCAACTGTAAACTAATTAGCAGTTAGTCATATTCTACAAAGATACTTTAGTTGTATTGAAATACAATCTGATTAAAACACCGATCCCATTTCGTTTCGTTTTTTATAGTTCAAAACTTCGTTTTACTTACCATTACCCTGAAAGAGTTGTTATATAACTCACGTTCTGTTAGGGGATTAGCCAATGAAACGGTCTGATGCAGCGAGTTCTTGGCGTGCGATGCACGGAACTGTGGGTCTCCTACTAGAGACATCAACGCTGATTGGTTAATCAGGTGTCTGACGTCATCGGGGTAAAAGCCGCTCGTATGACACTTGATGCGACCTACCACTACAACTGACCAGACCTTCATGTAGTAGAGGCCATCGAAAGTTTAAAAAAAACGAAACGAAATATAGATCTGGGTCCGTATTCGTAGGATATCTTAAGTCTAAGATAGTCACTTAACTACTAGATTTCACTTAAATATACGTAACTTCCTGTAAGTTAAGGGTACGTGGTATTCAAAGGCAGTGTTAAATATCGAATTTTCCCTTAAAGTTAAGCTGTCTTAACTTATAAGTGTTTAATCTTTTAGTGGTATTCAAGGGCCACTTTAAGTGAGAAAAATCCACTTAACTTTAAGTGACCTATGGGATGTATCTTAAAGTTAAGTGAGATAATAATGACTTCTTTTGACCGGAGTACACAATGTAGTAACAGGCCCGTAATGGCGATTTTAAAAGTTAAGCCCGGCTCAGATCGACCTTGCGACGCGACTCAACTGTCGGCGACTATTGTAGATTGCACTCAGATCGAATTCAGCAATGATCGCCGACCAGTTGCTATCGGTCGTACGATTGAACGCGAGCGCGCTCACATCGACACCGATACACCGACTTGTGGCGTCCTCACGAATAGATCATGTGACTTGTTCAAAATGGCGCCACACAGAATGCAGGTACGCGCACACAAATTTTCCCCATAAAAATACAAAATATGCCTAATTATTCCATAATCTCTCCATCTAATTAGCGAAATTATAGTGAGAAAGCAATTTAAATTACCTCGAGGGATTCAAATTATGTTGATTTTTCATTCGCCGCTCTGATTGGCTAAAATTTATAGCGCAGTCGGCAACCGATCGTAGAAACGCACACATCGACGATGACGAGTCGGCGACTGGTTCCGTCGCGTCGTAGAAGTAGAACATGTTCAACTCCTGCGACTCAGTCGCCGATCGTGAAAAACTGTCGCACGACGGTCGTAGCTAGACTCAGATCGACTAGAATCGGCGACGGAAATCGTGCGACGATCGGCGGCAGTTGAGTCGCGTCGTAAGGTCGATCTGAGCCCCCCTTTAGGGAATTGAGATTGAAACAAAGACAATGTCGCTGAGCGTAGCTGGCATCAAACGTTTTGTTTTTTTCCATCATCAACTTTGATTTTGTAGAGCCATAATAGTGTTTAAAATACAGATGTGACGTCACCCTTTGATGTTGGCGTACCATTATTTCAAATAATCGTACGGGCAACTTGCCAATCGTACCTTGTCAAATATTAGACTCGAGTGACGTATTTCACTGTAAACGCACGTGCGGAGTGTCTGTATTTTAAGATGTTTAATGGTCTCGAGCTGAGACATTGCGTAATATATTGTAAAAACACTCGGACCTGACGGTCCTCTTGTTGTTACCATATATTACTTAATGTCTCGCTCTCGACCATTAAACAATACATAAGGTTACTACCAGCGAAATGGTTACTATCATTTTCGTATTGCTTAATCAATCATGTTTGCCACGACTGTCATATAAAACAGTTTGATGCGTTTAATTTATTTGTAAATTTGGCATTGCGATGACATTCCATTGTAGATTTCAGAAAATATCAATACTACCGCGAGAAGCAAGCCATGGTTTATTTTTTTACAATTCGTTCCCATATACATATTATATGAAGTATATGATGATGACTGCTGACCAAAGCGTTCCACCAATGATTTACAATGTACCGTCATGGCCAGGCCTTTGGGATTCTAAAATTTTGGAACTGACACAATTTCTATGAATTTCTCAAATGATAGATTGATAAACAGCACTGAATGATTTGTTCAGTTTAACTTTAAAGCCAATAGCCCTGCGTATTGCTAATATGTTATTTTCTATTCGTTATAATAAAGTTTACAATACCCATCATTATACTACCACTATTCGATAACTGCTATTGAAATTTTTTTTTTTCTTTTTGAAAAACATCTATACGAAATTACCTGTTCCGATAACACATGCGTACCATCATAATCATAAATTATAGTCATACTATTTTCGTGCGTTACAATATAATATTTCGACAAACATTTTCCTAGTAATGACAACTAAGATTTTAATAGAGTATATTAAGTAATTCTTGATTTTTGGCAGTGGAGGTTATTCCATAAGTTAGAAATTCGTACTTTTTGTGTAATGTTGGTATTCAATATTTTAAGTGTGCATTGAAGTTTTTCCATAGCCAAGTATATGCAAAATAGAGCCTTTGAATACCGAATTAAAGGGACAATAACACCCTTGCTGGCTTGAAAGCTCCAGAAAATAAATAATATCTCTATCTAAGTACTAGATGTTTAAGTGTCCTACCTGTTGTGTAAATTATCCATTGCATCCTATTTTACTTGTCCAGAGGGTTCGAAAATATTTTTAAATCGAAGTTTCATTTAAAAAGGTTTACGTTAGACGTTTCAAACCATTATGTTGAATTTTTCAAAAATTTAAAATAAGGTGTGTTAAGATGAAATTTGTATCTTCAATTAATTGAAATATTCTAAAATAGTACAATTTGTTGACCAGAATAAAGATTGGGACATATTATTCAGTTACAACAAGAGTGGTATTGAGCCTTTAAGGTAAGACACTTGGTTAAGTGGAAGAATTGAGTATTTTTACTTAACTTTAAGAAAACCTTTGAATACGGACCCAATATTTTAATCAGATTGATTGAAATAGATCATAAACATTAAAATTCAATCTGTCTCTGGTTTTGGTTTCATTATTTTATCATTTTATTTTGTGTACTGCGCCATACTCACTGAGTAACCGCGTGGTGTATAACTACTGCAAGAATAATTTAAAAAGAACAGAGAATGACCAAGTTATGTTAATTATAGAGCTTTTCAGGTAACAATGTAAACAGGAATAGGAAAAAACTTCTTAATCTCATTTCGATTAGCGATCGGGAAAGCTATATATGACAAAACTGTTCTTTGGATATTTTACTCATTTTATTTCCATTTTTGCCTTAGTTAGTCGACATTGAAACACAAAATCGGTTACTTGCATTGTCTGAAGACGTCAAATTATCAATGAAATTGACAGTTTTACTTATAATTATTTTTAAATTAATGTTTGAAACCAATTTATGGCAGAATTGAATTTTTTCTGGCGTTGCTGACGCCAACAAAGTTGACCGAAGCCTTTGAATAATTAAAGCTCGGGATGTCATTTATACTGTTGGGACAGCCAAATGCATAGCAAACGTTTCGATCTCGTCAAAGTAATGAATATAAAAGTTTTCAATCTGCAGTCATGAGTTATATCATATCATAATATGATTAACGTACTATAAAATGCACTATATAATATGAATTGAGCCATTAATAATTTCGTTCAATATTTATAAGTATTCATGTTAGATCTCGATATTCAATGCTGGCTAATCCCTTAAGATTCGCGCCTTTAATTTATCGACTACCAATAACTAAAGGAGTATGCATCAAATTATTGTTAAGCTAACGCTTCAGGTTCAACATAATTATAAAGATTAAATAATCCTAAAAATATTGGGTATTATTATCAATCAATGTCTCATACATTATTCAGAACTATATTAATACCAGTGCCTACACGACCAATATAAGAATTCCCTTCCAATAATATTTTCTTTATTATTAATGATTAACGTTTTGAAAATAAATTGATTTTACTGAGAAATATAAAGTCTTTATTTAAGAGTTATTTCCGATAATATCCTAATCTATTTTCAGATTACCAACAATCGATATTTTTTTAATTTTTTTTTAAAGAAATAAATTACTACCAAATTCACACAAACCAACGAAAATAATGCCAAATAACCTCCACCCCCATCTGTATTTAATAATAAACTCAGCTTTAATGTACTAAATTTTGTTATTCACCGATACAGCCCATACTCCATTAACCAATATTTTTTTTTTTTAAGAATAACTTATAGTTTCCAGTAAATTTTACTTTAATCATTCTTGGTTAGTTATCGCTTATTTACCTGTATTTGATATAGATAAGGCCGTGTAGACAGAATAAACCATAGTAATCTCACGGGCAATGTAGTTAAACAAAAAAAAAATACCATATATTTTTTTTCGGCTCCAGTTGCTTTCTAATGAACTCGTTCAACCTCACTTTCCACCGTTGAATAAAATATGCATTGGCATCAATTTTGATATGCAATAATGATTTCTTTGAAATTGTCATAATGTTTTTATCATTCATTTCTCTTCAGTTTGAAGAAGACGATATGAACGGAGCTAGTGATACGGTCAAAGTCGGTCATATTAAAAGGGAGCCCGTTGACGTACTTGATACAGCAGCAGCAGACGCACGAAATGATGACATGAAATCCTACAGACAACATCTTATCGGTCCGTTCACCGTCAACGACACGTCTTTCCACGATGACAGAGAGAAATATCAACAAGGCGAAACATCTCGGCTGTCTGATTCCGATGTCCTTACTGTCCGAACCACGTCACGTGATGGAGCAGAATCGGTAACGTCTCATGAAAGCGACAAACAGACATTTCCCGACGACATGACCGGGGAGATGAAATATGAATGCCACATTTGCTTTGCTAAGTTTCGATCGGCTCGTGCTTTCCGGGGCCATATAAATGCTCACAGATACTCTAGCGATGGTCAGGCAGCAGCTTTTCTACCATGTTCTCCTTTCACAGGACAGTTTTCACCAAAATCAGATCAGCAAAACGGCACTTTTAAATGTGACGGATGTGCAAAAATATTCTACAGCCGCGACACATACGCCATGCACATGATGCTCCGAGCAAAGAATGAAAATTGTAGCCTCGCAAAGTCAACACTTTCTCAGTTAACGTGCGACGTGAAGGAAGAAAAGAACGAAAGAGTAAAAATGAATATTGAAGCCATACTCTCATCTTTTGGCCATTCTGCTTGGAATACCACGATGGATATGCACAAAATGACAATCAGAAAAGCTTTTGAATATAGAAACCTGCCACAAGAATCAACCAGACAATTGACGCCCACATCAGACGCCCTGGCCTGTACCGTCTGTGGCGAAGTAATGCACAGCAAAGATTCCTTGGCAATGCACATGCTGTTTCATGCTCGAGGAGATGGCGAAGATGATGGACAACGGAACCTACTACCGATGCCACCCCTTGCTTCAACCACTATGAGAGACTATGTTAATGCTTTGGCATTAGCCGGTAACAAAATGCAGACAGCTAGAAATTTGGCCGCTTTTCACCATGCTGCTATCAATCTCACCAACGAGAATATGGCTAAGTTTGACGCTCGATCCACAGAAGTTCGCACTCCATCTAAACCCATCTACGAACCTGTGGCGTTAGTGAAACGAATGGAGTGGAGTGAAAACGAGAACAACAAAGAGTCTACTGGACGGGACTCCCACGGACGTAGTTCTTCACCTTCTCCAGTCCAATCACCCAAATCAAGCCCTATAAGACACCAGCTATTACAGAACGAACCCAACCATACGCCCCTCAGTGTTTGTTCGAGCGAAATCGATGAATCCAGATCGGATATGGGAGACGTCGCAAGTCATTATTCTGACGCTGGACTGGACAACCACGAAAGAAACAACGAGAGGCGACCAAAATCCCTTGATAGCGGCATCAAAGCTACTAAATTAGCCGAAAAAAAATACCATGGAAAGTACAAGAATTATCAACGAATTAAGATGTACCACTTGTTGCGTAAATACTCCAAGCAAAACCTAGTTAGACGTCAGCATCTTAACCAAGAACAAAAGAAGGGGGAGCAGTCTTCCGCAAGCAAATCAGAGGGAGAACCGCTCGCCATGGACAAGGGATCGGAGGTACCCAAGGAAATCCTAGCTGCTCATGGCGCTTCGTCTTATTGTCAATACTGTAAAATCATTTATTTGGACAAGACTCTCTATCAGTTGCATATGGGACTCCATAATGTCAATAATCCTTGGCAGTGTAATGCTTGTGGAAAGGTGTGTGTTAATAGACTGGAATTCTCATCCCATGTTCTTCATTACTAAATCTTTATACTCATTAAATTACTATTTAAAGTAACTTGTGCTAGGCTGTTTCGCTAATAACTTTGGACACTACAGTGTAAATGTTCTACAAAATGATTTCAAATACTATTTTGTCTTATGTAATTGGTAAATGGGAAATGAACTTGAACAATCAAAGATCTAGTGTTGCTTTTTGTTTGAACTTTTGTTACGAAAAAATGAATTTAACTTTCAAGAAAGTGACATGCCACGCTAACGCCACATGGTGAATGGTTATACTGCAGAGTATAGTAAAGACCAAGGAATAGCTTATGTGTTATAAAGGGGCTGAAACACGCCTTCTTCTTTCTTGTTACACCAATGGTATCATTTTAACAAAATAAAAGTAATTCAGAAAGAAATTTCTGGAGAATAGATACCACACGGAACTTTATTCTATTTACATATTTCTACTGATTAATACCACCAGTTTTGATGAGCAATAATTATTTCTTTGACAGACAACACTATTTTTTTTACAACGATAACCAGACAGCGAGAACACAAATTTGTGATCGCGTTTTTTAGGGTACCACAAATTTTTTATATAGGAAATTTTCACTTTGTGTGTGTGTAAACACTTTATGCGCAGCTATCACTTGCATTCCGGGTCACGGAATAGAGCGAGTTCAAATTAGCAATTTGATTTGTGTCAAAAAAGCCCATACCTTCAAGGAACTTATAATAGCAGCAGTCATTCCGTTTTGGATTACTAGTAAATGTATTATTAATATATTTTGGTGAATTTCTCACCTTTTGTTTAATGTAAGCTTTGCGTTATGATATTGTTAGCTTTATTTCTGGGCAGATTCTTAGCATATCACCTGAACATATTCTTTTCAACTGGCTAGACCTCTTTGATTTTAGTAAAAAAAAGAAATAAATAAAAAAATGTCGAATTCATTGAATTTTATATGTTGATTTGTTTTGTGGACTGGCAATTTGTCTTTGTTGAACAATGTTACGTCTATAGACAAAGCGAATGTCGAGATATGTCCGTTTTGTGTTCCACTGCTTTCTGTTAGCACAGTAACTCTAAGCAAGACGTGAATATAGAATGAGCAATTAAACTGACTTCGGCCTAATATTTTGAAAGAAATGTTGAATCGTATAGAGCATGTCCCATAACACATTAACATATTTCAGTACTTTATTTTGACTGAAATCATAGATGTTAAGCTGCTTTAAAATGTTATTTTGGTAAAATCAAATGTATTGTGCATATTGTATAACACTTATTCTAAAACTTCAGCTTGTACCCTTTTACATTGTTAGTATATTGTTAATTTCTGCTTTTTTAAACAGTGCTAAGAATTTATTAATAGTTAATAAAATTATTGTTATTGTTCTTATCTGCTTTGTTTTTTAAATGTATGGCCTGGCCATGCTAGATACAAAGAATTCCCAGTGTTAAGTCCAATCAATTACTCCATTAAAATACAGTACCCTTAACGGCATTCTCCTTTTTCGACTAGTAAGTGCTGATATCTTGTATTGATCTTTAAGTACATGCGATTTAGAATTACTGTTTTTTGGTATCTGTAAAACTGAATTAATCCATGGTATTGGTTGGTCAGGAATACCCTGTCCCCCTAGACACCAATTTCGTTCCGTTTCCAGTAGGTGTTCAAATGTTTCTTCATGGTAATTATAAAAGGATATTCGTGGAATTAATTGACGTATAGAAATAAATATATTAAAGAAAATATGTAGTGTTTGAAAATGAAGTGCACGTGAAAAGGTAAAGCAGACCTATAAATAATAGTCGTTTAGTAATTGGATTCTACCAGTCGAAGAACGCCATTATACAGAATCTTATTAATATTTAACTAAACTCTTCTGTTGTAACAAGTGATAATTGTGAATAAATAATGGCGTACCAACAAACCCCTCGTTAAACCACAGAAAAAAATCTTGACAAAACAATCCATCTATTATTTTTATCTCGGTTTTATATGAAATGATTGAAACAATTTATGAAATCATTATTAGCATTCAATATATATCTTCTATAAATACAACTAATTAAAAGTGTTCCCATGTTATGACAGTAAACAAATATCCTTTCTATTCAAATAACATAACTCATCTTCGATCGATCTTCATGAATATTTAACTCTTCAATATTGTATTCCATGCCTTTCTTGTCTCGTATAGAATAAATGTTAAATGCATATTTGTTAAGTGAATTAATTAGTATTCTTTTTTTTTCGACTGAAAAATATAGATAAACTTATTAGTTTTCTTCCTTTTTTTCATTTTCATAAAGCAAGCTTGGTGAGAAAAATGAAGATCAATTTGTATTAGTGGTTTATGTCAAGCTAATTAAAAGTTTAAAGTAATAAATACAAGTAAATCGATATTTGACTATGTTTACATACTGTAAAACTTTTGCATATTTGAGTCGGTGACTTCCCAAGTTATACACACAACAACCAAACCCATTTCATCTTGGAGAATATTGTCTTTACTTCTGTTGGCCCACAAATCTTGTAATCGCTATACAGGCCAGGTTTTTTGTGATTTTGCGTCTTGGAATTGTTCAACTTGTCATAAGGTCCTGAAATGGGGATCCTCAAAAGGGCATTTACAGGAGGTCTAATGCCCATTAAGCGTGCTTGAGATGATACTGAGCTATAACAAATGGATGAAAATGTAAAATTGGAAAATATTTAACTTCGGGAAATGTGAATCAAATGTATCATTTAGCGTTGAACAAGGACAAAGTAAACAACATAACATTGGAAATCACGAAGTCTTGCAGAGATGGTGGAGTACATTTACGATCAACAATAAGGGGGAACCCTATCGATATTCAGAGTGACTGTCTCTCTTGTCGAAACCTTGTAAACGCTAGGTTAATTGACTTTTACAGAACCTGCCTTCTAAGAACACAAAGATAAATCAAAAGGAACAATAATAACTGCAATCTGATTAAAATACAGATCTATATTTCGTTTCGTTTTTTTATACTTTCGATGGCCTACACTACATGAACACTCGGCAAACCTCAACAGATTCCAGTACCCTACATCTAATCTCGGCTGTATGACAAAGTCCGCCATTAGAACTACTTTCACGTTCCCGGATTACAATGGCGTTGTCCATGACGACCAATGGCGTCATTGATGACGACGTATTTGAAGAATGTTTTATCTTACAAAATTTTCAAAGTTTGAAGCTGTTTTTCTTTCAAGTTTATCCGATTTTCTTTAGACAAGGACAAATTTGCACTGAAAATTCTACACACTCTTCGAACGACGCAATTTTGAGAACTTCTTTCTAAACGCGTAGGTACATATCACTTACTGTCATACAGCCGAGGCTAGATGTAAGATACCGGAATCTGCCGAGGTTTGCCGAGTGACTGCATGAAGTGTAGTAAAGACAAGTAAAACGAAATTTTGAACTATAAAAACGAAACGAAATAGGAGCTGTGTTTTAACCAGATTGCTATAATAACTGATATACTGATGATGATAGGAAACACAATGAACTTCGAAGGACATTCACGTCTGTGCAAGATTATGGAAAGATAAATCAAGATATATAGACTAAATGCGTTGCAGTAGTTTGATTATATAACTATATTTACCTTTTTCATCTTTATTCGCGATTTTTTTCATAGAAAGATGACAAAGTTTTATTAATAACTCTAAGCATTGAACCAAACACACATTTAGCATAAACAACAAAAGGTAGGCTACTACAATAAAAAGTTATTGCGTGTCTTTTAAGTAATAGATACGGGGGTCTTGTTTATTTATTAGCCGCAAACGAGTAAGAAATTTAATTACTTAGATAAATTTGATCTGAATCTATTTACATGAACATTAAATTTAAACTATTGATAATAAAGATGCATATCATTGACTAGTTGGCGTGTTTATTTGTGGTTTAGGTTTTGTCTTTGATTCAATAAATTATTTAAGAAAACTGTTAAACAATAGAAAGTTTTTCAACAATACCTCGTAGTCGCATGATCAAAAACTCAAAATAAAGAATTTAGCTAATCTCTTCATCTGCGGATATCTTAATTTATGTAGATGATCATTTTATATCGATATTAGATTGATATCTTACGTAATCAATTATGATATTGTATTTCAAGGTTTCCAGAAAAATACAAAAGGTGGAGTTAAAGTAACAGCTGAAAATTAATTTTACCTAAATCGTCACTCGGATTATGAAATTGTATTTTAAATGTTCCAGAAAAAAAAGAAACTTTTAATTAAAGTGAAGGTTTTAAACAAATTTTACCAATATCGTCTGCGTACAAACTGTGTGATGTGATGATATTTGGATTAAAAACATATTCAAACTAATTCATCTATTAAACGTTTGATGCAAATCCCTCTGAAAACATTTTTAGTCGCAAGAAAACTATTTTAAGCAGTTTTGTTTGTCACCTGACTGGATTGAGGGATAATGCATTTGTCGTTTTATTTCTCTGTCCATTTACCATAAATATCAAAGCCTAAGTAAATTCTTGGATTATCCTCTGTCGCCTTCATCCGTTTTCTCACAGAGTCTACTGGACGTTTAAGTCTGTTATATTTCCACAACTGTTAGTCATTAGATTAAGACATACGAAGCGCCCCTTAATTAATTACGTCACTCGAGCGGACAGGCTGCCAGTTACGTCAGATTTTGGTCCTGTGGGAGCCTAATGGGTGTTTTGCAGAGAATCCAGTATGTTTAGTAAGATTATAGTCAGTAACCCTAAACATTACATGAAATTAGACCAAAAAATTACCCATCTTTAAATACACCACAACCTTAATAAACAACATCTCATACGAATTGCAAGACAAAGAATGTAATAACAACAAAACAATATGATTATCTATTCGCTAAATCTGACTTCCAACAACGACATCTCTATACGCTACCAAAAATACATAAAAATCCAGAAACGGAAAAGTTACACAATAACACAGGGGTTGAAGGCTGAAGCGGTTACGAAAGCATTTCTTAGGAACCCGCAAGCTAAGACCGGACGGAGAAATCCTCAAAGGAATGGCTTCACTTTCAAGTTATGCAAATCTCTTCATGGCGGAGTGGGAAAGGGAAGTTCTGCCACTCTGTCCTTTAAAACCAGATTTCTATGGACGTTTTTAGATGACGCTTTCATAGTCTGGACGTACGTACACTAGACGAATTTTGGACGTTTTTCGACATTCTAAATAATCATCATCCATCTGTCAAATTAGTCACAAATGTATGTCATAACAGCATAGATTTACTTGAAATCGCCGTTTTTAAAGGAGCTAAATCGCTAACATTTGGGACCTAGAAATTGACAAAAGTGGGTCGCAACGCATATAATACTGTAATATGAATGTATATAAACTGATTTACATTCAATGGTTTCCGTTTTTACTCCAATTTCAAATCAGTTATGTTTGGCGAAATAAGCCAGCAGTCTCAAGCGAGTGCAAATTTCTAGCGTCTGGTTATTCAAGTCTACATACGCCATTTGATTTGGTGCAATGTGTCTAGCCTCGTCCCTCGAGTCTCTTGATACATCTGGGGCTGAAGCGCATTATGGTACACGGTTCGTGTACCAATGGTAAAATGTTTATTTTGTCTTAAATATTGGATATCAAAAGCCCATCTTTTTCCGGTAAGATCACAACATGAATGTTGATTTAATTTGACAAATAAATCGTGTTTTCAATGTTGAAGATTTTGGATAATATTGAGTTAGAGACTTAGCTCCTTTAAAAGCAGCAACACCAAAAACACAGGCCAATTAGAAACTAAATTAGAAACCGACACACATCAACTGTTCAAAAGCTCAATTTACCCAAAACATACGTTCTCTGACATCATAAAATCTCAGATTCTCCGATTTTGGGTCTGCACGTACGCTAGTATTTAGCAAACTAAGAGAAAGAGGATACCAAAACTTGTGACCACCCCAGATGTCAAATATGCAAAATTATAAACATATCCGACCACTTCTATAATAAAACATCTAGCACATAATTCCCTAAATAAGACCAACTTTCATGCATGCAGAAATTCAAGCATGGCATAATTATCCAATTTGCTGTAGGCAATGTGACAAACATTACATATAGGTTAGACCCAAAATGCGCTTAGGGAAAGAATTAACAGTCACCGGTCAGACAAAGTCACCAAAAAAGACGAACCTTTAGGCTAACAAGAGAAAAACTCTGGATTGACAAATTGAAAAACAACAACCCCTCTAGGTTTGAATATTCATACGGCTAGCGCAATAGCTCTCTTTGTAGTCCCATTTAGCGCAATAACAGCAGGTGCATACAAAATCATCAGAAAACACTATACTGATCTCCAAGAAAATCACCTGAAAATCTTAACACAGAAACTTATATTGCATATTCTAAAAATATAAAAACTAACATAGTGCACGGTAAATTTGACTAAATAAGACCAACCCTCGTCCTAACTCAAAGCCAAATTTATATCAAACGCTAGACCTAACCCTTAGTAAATAAAATAAGAATTTTAGCCCTAACCCGGGGATAGTGGAACAAAAATATTTTTATAAAATCCAATCCCTAGTAAGAAACACTAATGTGGCTCTCGCCCGAGAGCCTCATATTTATTCTTTTTTCTTCAGAAACAATAATACCAGAAGATCACAAGCACCGCATAAGGAAGACCATCAGCTCCACCAACACCAAAAACGGCGACCAGTATCAAATCAGCTTTGTATATAAATTTAATCTATATTATGCTTATGTGTACACTATAACCTCTCTCCCAAATTCTTAAACCCAACCCTCGCCCGTGCCAGACTGAATTAAACCTTGTTCATGACTTCCTTTATAAATTTAGTCAAACCCCGCATGTATACATAATTCTGTTTTTTGCATATTCTTTTATTCTTATCTCATTATGTAATATGTTGTAGCTAAGAGCTTCGGTATTCTTGTTTCTCAGTCCCATAGGACTGTTGTTTGTTTCCTAACACTACATCTGATGTGATAATTTTGCACGTCTCGGGAGTAACTTCGGACCTCGAAAACTTGTCAGAAAAGTCCAGTAACACTGTCAAAGTGTCAGAATAATGCGAAGATGCAGTTTTGTCAGTATTTGAGAACACTAAAACTTTATATGGTATTATTATAGGCCCTACATTAGTCGAAAAACATAATTTTTTAGATCTTTCAGGAACTTGTGTGTTGGGGATGGAATCTTCCTAAATTTATTTCAGAACTTTTCTCCTTGGGTCGCCCCTGACCGCCCACCATCACAATAGTTATCAAAAAGTTTAGGAACATAGTCAGAAACATTTTTTGGGGAAAGAAAAAAATATTGACTTCTAGTTGACAAAATACAGTGCCTGAAATCATATGACTTTTACGTGATAATAAACAATAATTTTACATTATTTTAATTGAATACATCTTGTCTGGGTCCTGATTTGCGGGACATCGTTTAGGCATCGATCATTTTTCGGAAATCGTAATTATAAATTGACTAATGGATTAACTTCAAAACATTTAAAACCAGTATAATAAACATTAATTGTTGCACCCCCACCCCCTTCCGCGCCTTAAACTTTATCGGGCTAGATATGGTCATAGGGTTATTGATACTATTCCTATTCATTTCGGTTCACTTTAAACCATTTACTTTTTCTCAAAATAGGTATAATTTAATCTCTCTCTGTCTCTGTCTCTCTCTCGACCGTTTCTAAATCCACTGCCAATCCGTGGCAACATGGCGGCCCCCTGCGACCGAGTGAATCTGTCTATAAACTTCCGACTCTGATAATGTAAATGGCTTGTCTCTCGATATCACCTCGGTGGAAGCGACGTTAAATAAAGCTATTTCACACAATAAAAACGGTAATTAAAGCAAGGGTCTCGATAATTTTTCCAACTTCATTAGCAGTTTGTTAGATAAATTCAAGAAAATGGATTAGCAATTCTAAGCAACGTGACGTCCAGTTTTGATTAGCGTGTGTATGAATATCCAAAACAGACTAAAATTTTGGAAAAGTGTGATTTAACTAAAAAAAAGGCTACTGCCTCAACCATCTTATACATTTTAAACTGATTTCTTCGATTATGAACAAACTACTTAACTTTGGTTATTATAAACTTACCTGTGTGTTTGAAATCACCTTAAAATCCATTGTAGATCATCTACATTAAATATTCCAACGAATAAAAACAAAGTTCTCACTTGAAAAATTTGATCATATTTATTTGTATTTTTGACTGAGTTCAAGACAACATGGCTTTCATCAGGTGTCGGACAAAACCAGTGAAGCAGCTGTGGGGGTTATTGTTTAAACTTTACCGAGATTTTGACAACCACATGTTGCAATCAAAACAAAGCTTGATCGTTTGAGGTTGGGCAACGAAAAATATCAACTGTAGACAATTAGGCCTACAAGTGTATCATCAATTTGATATCATTCTTTCAATACAATAATAACTGTTTCAATAACATCTATTGCAGCAGCCCTGAAAGTGTCTTTTAGGTTGTAAACGCCCAAACTCAATACCGAGCCGAGAATTATAGCTTGTTCTTTTACTTTTACAAAATTTGAATTGTCATAAACCGTGGCATGAAAACCACTTTATACGAAATGATCTCTCCTGAAGAGTGACGTAATCAGTTTCCATTTTGGTATTTTTCGATGTCAGAAGTTTGTGGATATTCAATTTTTCAAGAGAGAACTTTTTTTTATTCATTTGATTGTTTTGAAATTTAGATACATCCTTTAAATTAGTGAAACAAAGAATCCTATTGAATTTCAACAATTTTCGTTAATTATGTCTAGAGTTATGCCCCTTGTTTCTCTTTGTCAAACCCTTTGGTTGCTCTAATGACAAAAGTGATCATCCGATCTGTATGAAATTATGCTTTATTTAAATTAGTGAAACGAAGAAGCCTACTGAATTTCAGCAATTTCAGTTAATTACGTCTAGAGTTATGGCCCTTGTTTCACTTTGTTGAACCTTGTGAACGGTCAAATGACAAAACTTATCATCTGATCTGTCTGTAATTTATATGCATCATTTGAATTAGTGAAATGAAGAAGCCTTTTGAATTTCAGAAATTTCTGTTAATTACTTTTAGAGTTAAGATTATTTTTTTCACCTTCTTGAACCATGTGAATGCTCTAACAACAATAGTTCTCATCCAATCTGTATGAAATTTATAATTAGTGAAATGAAGAAGTCTATTGAATTTCCGTTAATTAATTATAGAGTTATCATCCAATGTTTATGAAGTTTATATGTATTATTTAAATTAGTAAGACGAAAGATCCTATCAAATTTTAACAATTTCTGTAAATTACTTCCAGAGTAAGGCCCTTGTTCCAGTTCATAAACGTTGGTACGGTCGAGAAAGCAGTCGAAAGAACTAGACCCTAGTCCTACAGAGTCTTTATAAAATGTAGTGGGTGCTAATTGCTCTTTTGTACATTTAGCACTGTGATAAACATTCAATTATAGTAGGCCTACAATATAGCCTATCTCCAAATTTCTATTTTAAAGTATTTTCATCCAATAACATAGCCAATGTAGGCCAGGACTATGTAATTTTCTGTCAAAATGAGAGCTTTGGATGAAAATATATTTTAATAAGAAAGGAAATCACGACAGCCTGGAAACAACTGTTAATAACTGCATCCAACAATTTTAGGATTAGAATAGTTTCTATAGTTAATGAATGTAGCACCTTTCAGCATCAGAGTCAGAGCGCCTCCACCCCTGCAGCAACGCTTCCACTGCAGCCCCCACTAACTAGTGACATTGACTCAAGTGATGTCGTATTGGCACCAGTTAACACCTATGTTATAAATGTTATCTATGGTATATTGTCAACACCAGCAACTCAAGGTTGGTCGTCTTTCACTTGATCATAGATTTAAAGTTTCATCAAAATTGTAGCCTCTAAAGGGTCCACAACCTTGATATACCATATATTTACACGATTGGCATACAAGGGCGGCCAGTCGACTCAACCATCATTAGGGTGTAACAGTGATATATTCAAACGTTTTATAAATCTGATAAAAACTGTGACGTCTAGAGGAACCACAAGCTAATACTGCGATTTTTCGTACAATCAACGGCCATAATTCAGGAAGCTACGATCCAATATCCGCAAATATCACAATCAATTAAGATCTTTGGGTTCAAAATCAGATGAAAATTGTGACCTCTAGAGTGTCTACAAACTAAAATCATGATTTTTCGTACAATCAGGGGCCATACTCCATGAAGTTTTGATCCGATACATGCCAATATCGAAAGGATCCAAGATCGTTTGGAGATAAACCTCTATTTTAAGTTTCGTCAAAATCGGATCATAATTGTGACCTGTAGATTGTTCACAAACAATTGTGAACAGACGGACAGGGGCGAAGACAATATACGCCCACATGCGGACGTATTAAAATAATATCTCGTCTGAAGTAGACAAAAAAATCTCAAGAGGAAACTTTATTTGTGGAGTTTAGATAACTTTTGTTAAGCTGACCGATGGAAATTTGAATAATAGAGTAAGTCCTATATAAAAGACTTGAAATTGTTTATTTGCAATATTTTATATTTAATTCTTCAGAAAAAAGTAAAAACATATGGTTGATGGAAGCTCAATGGAGGAAGACAGGATGGATGAAAGCAATCATCACAAAAATGCTGCTAAATCAGATTTTATGAAAGTTTTAGTGAAAAATCTTCGAGCGATTTGCAATGATTATTTTCCATTTGATCAAAATATAGAGGTCATAGGACACATATATCTTAAAGTAGATTGTAGCGCGAAATTCAACTACTTTTTAAATGAAGTCTTGGCTAAAACTGGATCACAAGAAACATTAGTCACAAGCAATAGTTTTCATGCGGAACCTGATTCACACGATGTCCAACAGGGTGTTCTGATTTCATGCAATGCAGAGCAAAACAAATCATTAACTCGAGCCAAGACAACATTTCAAAAAAGGTCTACCAAGCCAATAGAATCTTCAACCATATACAGCACACCAAATACTTCACAAGTCATATCAAATGACACCATACTGAACCAAAATTCGCAGTGTAAGAAGTAATTTTGTCAATTTGTTCAAACTTCTCCAAATTTAAGTCACATTGTTTTTGTCTCCCGCCTTTCGAAGAAATCAGGGGACTATTAAAATGAGATCGTCCGTCTGTCTGTCTGTCCGTCCGTCACACTTTTTGGGACACAATGACTCTCTCTCTAATTGAGCTAGAATGTTCAAACTTGGTGTAGGTGTTTATTAGGTCAGTGCCTTGATGGAGTTCGAAGATGAGCATTTTCTGCTTAGGGTAAGCAGAGATAAGCAATTTGATTGGTTGATGCTTTGGGACACAATAACTTTGGTGTATAGCTTTATTACATCAATACCTTGAATAAGTTCGATAATGAGCATTTTCTGATCAGGGTAAGCAGAGCGATAAGCAATTTGATTGGTCGAGACTTTGGAACACAATTACTCTCTTTCTAATTAAGTAAGAATGTTCACACTTGGCGTAGGTGTCAATTAGGTGAATGCCTTGATGGAGTTTGAGCAGAATAAGCAGAATTAAGCAATTTGATTGGTTGATGCTTTGGGGCACGATAACTTTAGTTCTAATTAAGTGAGAGTGAGGACACTTGGTGTATAGCTTTATTACATCAATACCTTGACTAAGTTTGATAATGAACATTTTCTGCTGAGGGTAAGCAGAGCAATAGGCTAAGCAGAGCAATAAGTGAATGCCTTGATGGAGTTCGATGATGAAAATTGTCTGTTTACCGTAAGCAGAGATAAGCAATCTGATTGGTTGATGCTTTGGGGCACGATAACTTGAAATAAGAGCGATGACACTCTGAATATAGATTCATTATATCATTAGCTTTGACTAAGTTCGATAGTGATAAATTTCTGCTTAGGCTAAGGAGCAATAAGCAGTTTGGAACATAACAACTCTGCTTTTAATTGAGGTAGAATGTTTAAACTTGATGTAGATGTCCATTAGGTGAATGTCTTGACTGAGTTCAATGATTAACATTTCGAGCTGAAGCTAAGCAGAGCTAATCAATTTCATTGGTCGATGCTTTGGGACAAGATAATCTTGATTCTTTCTGATAGAGAGTGATGAAACTTAGTCACACTTAGTGTATAGTTTGATTGCTCAATACTTTTGAAAAAAATAAATGTGTGATTAATTAATGTGTCATCTATTTATTTTGGGATTTCGGCGGGGGACATCAGCCTCACTGTTGGCTTGTTCTATATGATATAATTGGTATATAAAATTTGTATTTAATTATATTATGATAATTTAATAAAAAAATAAGGCATCAATGCATAAAACTTTATAAACACTGAGATTTTATTAAGAGGTCATCCCTGAATACGGATTCTACTGTATATTAAAATAATTAAAGCCACAACATGCTAGGAAAGGGCTGAATATAGTGTTTATGACAATACACAATCAAAATTTTTATTTTTCCATTCAACTTGAATTATATTATGGTACATCTAACAAATTTTAAGCTGTTGTTTAAGGAATGTTCATGGTTTAAGCGAGTCATAGAATTTTGCAGGTTATTTCTGTGTTTTAATTATCTCTTGGCAAATTTTTCAAACAGTATTGAATAATATTATCAGGGCTCTCAATGAAAAATCTGAAAAAAAATGCCTTTAAACGGTTTTGGCCCTCATTTTGAACAACTTAATATTTTGAGCTGAAACTTTCGAACAAGGTACATACGCTATCACTTCAATTGGTGTTTGATGTGCATACTTGAAGGAATCTTTTATATGAATTAAGATCCTTTATATGGTAACTGGGACTTCTTTTTATAAATCCTAATTAGTTGTCATCTAGATTGTCACATATGGATTTATTTGTTGAAATTGTAAGATATTTAGTCGTTTTTCTCTACCAAGTTAAACAAAATGAGGATTGCAAAATTTTGAATTTTGTTTGATTTCAGATAAGAATACGCTTGGTATTGTAGAAACTCAGCCAACAAAAACAGAAAAATCACATTCTTCAGGTATTTAATTCTTTTGAAATTCCAGTATTTAGACGGAGCTACAGTGGCTAGGTGGTTAAGACGCTGGCTCGCTAGCCTGGAGGTCGGGTGTTCGATCCCTGCATTGGCCGAGAAAGTTCATCCAGATTTTCGGATGTGGTTTCCCCTTGTCAGTGGTGCAGAACGGAGGGCCTGACAAGGACAGCTGACTAGTCCTTCGGATGAGACGAAAAACGAGCTCCCGTGTATACATTGGAATGCACGTAAAAGATCCCTTGGCAGTTGGAATTCGATATAAGAGTAGGCGATAGTGCCGCTGCCCGGGCAAAATTTCCCTCATAGCACACTGTATGGCGTATGCCCGTCTTCATTAGACCAGTATAGGAGCAGAACAGTAGGACGTTAAACCCCATTTCATTTCATTTCAGTATTTAGACTTAGAGAGTTATTCTCTGATAAGGCCAAGAAAAATAATATGTGTGTAATACCATTAAAACAAATGTGAACAATTAATGATGTGACATTCTCTGTTTTGTTGAAAATAAAAGGCCTACTTAATTAACGTGGCATTAGAGAAGATTTAATGAAGAGTAGACAGTTCTAGCTATAATAGTTAAAAAATAGATAATGAAAACAGAATATGCTGAAAATTTCAGTCAGATTGCTTAGGCTAGTCTCGACCGTCATTACTACTGTTGGTATGATAATAAAAAAGTCTTGATTATCCATTTTTACGTTAAGTCATCCATCACAAAACGTATTCAAATTCATGAAATATTGCAGGTTAACAATGGCATTGAGAGTTGATTATGGTCTTGATAAGTTAATTAATGTCTAATTAATAATTTAGATATTATTTAAGGCCGAAAGAAAGACCTGCAATAGGCAGATTTAGCTCTTGCATAATGCATGTTTAAGGGCATTAGGTAGTCTAAGATTTACACTAACTTTTCAATGCCAATCTTATCAAAACTTTGCTTACTTGTTCCATGTGTAAAATAACCCAGAGGACACATAACAGACTGATAATTTGTTATGTAATAATGGAGGTACAAGATGGAAGAAAAAAAACTATTTATAGCAAATAAGAAGGTTTCCCGGACCTAGATCAGTTCTGGAATAAATTATGACGTTGTACACATCGGTCACATAATCCTTGTCTCCAGCAACAGTTTCACACTGGACCATTGACATCTATCTATATAGGACGTCAGAAGGAATTCCCTCTAGTCTAAGACACGATTATCCAGGTCTACCATCTATCACGACTGGAACATCGCTGAATTTCTTTTTTAGATGGTCGAAGACTACCAGTTTTGAATGTATAAAATGGTTTACTGAAGTAAATATTTATTTTTTACATCCAAATTGTTGTATTGTAACAGATGGATGTATTCAAAGAATCTCGTATGAAAGTAAATAATGAAAATACTTTGAGCAGATATATATCTTTTTAATGTGTTTGGTGTTGAAATGTCGCTTATAACCTCTACTTTTGATCTATGGGAGTGATTATCGATATCTCTTTTTAGCATGAACTCATAGAATTTCCGGTTTCTTGAACTTGCATTTCACATTGTTCATGCCAAATTTGATGAAAATCCATGGATTCATAACTTAGCAAATTTGACTTTTACTGTCATCAACCACCTTTATTATCATGCTTTTGAGCCAAGTTTAGAACATACTTGGGAAATAATATTGGTATTTTTTGGGGTGATTAATATGTAGTTTATCACCTTAAATAACAAAAAATGTCATATCTTATATAAAGAAAACTTAAAGTGCTAGCTTTAAAATATGCATTTTAGAGTACTCAACACCCTTAACATAGTTGTGTGTATCATATTTTAATTTTGGTTTCATTAAAATTAAAAGATATGTACATTGATTTTACACTTAAAGTACCACAAACAAAAGTAAAATAATTTCATAACAGAGACGATTTTCTTTAAATGGAGTTACTTCCCTTGATGAATACCATCCTTTTGAATAGATGGGGTATCAAACTAGTAACTGAATACCGCTCTTCACGAATTTGTTTTACCCGTTACAGTAATTGCAGATTTTTATCTACAGCTAGTAAACAGTTGTCATTAAAGATACATTATGTAAGAGCAAAATCTGCCTGTTGCAGGATTTAATTTTGGCTTCAAATGTTATATAAATTATTATTTTGACATTTTTATTGACGTGAGAAGCCTATAATCAACTCTCTAGAACATCAGATAGCGCAGATGTAAACCGAATGAAATAAGATTGCCATTTAATTTAAAAATGGAGAAGCGAGGCTGAGTCTCAATTAACAAGTAACATAACTACGATAATAAACAAACTATGTCAAAACTTCAAACAGTGATATTATCATTCAGAATAAAGTAATTTGAATGAAATTTTCAAATTAATTTTGAATTATCTATTTTGGAACTGTTATATCAAGAACGACCAGCTCTTTATCTAAATCTTACATAATGCATCTTTAACTGTTTCATCCATCTCTGTGATTGTTGCGGCAGAGCGGAAATTTGCTGTGGATCAGTTACAGCAAGATATAAAAAAAATATGTAATTGACATATGATTGGAATACACACTTGAATTTGATTTTATGGCATTTACATCTAATGTCTCCACCCCACAACATATATATTTTCATCTTTTTTCTTTATTTTTATTACCAGAAATGAATCATCCTGCTAATGAAGCTGATAATGAAGAGATGTATTCATCGCTTCATACTTGGTTTGCTCCTCCTGAAACATCAATCACAAAAGCTGGAATTAGACGCAGAGCTAAAAACAACTACTACAGTCCAGAAATACGTGCCAAAATTGGTCGATATGCAGTGGAACATGGAAATTCATTAACGGCAGAAAAATTTTCTAGAGAATTAAATATGGATGTAGGTGAGAGTACTGTACGATCAATAAAGAAAAGGTACTTGATGTCCGTGCAGGAAATGGATACTGAGATAGAAGCTTTAAAGTCGGCACCACGTGGTAGACCCCTTATGCTGGGAGACATCGATAAGAAAATAGTTCAGCTAGTATCAGAAATTCTCCAGACAGGTGGAACAGTAAATGGCACCATTGTGACTGCTATTGCCAAAGGTGCTGTGAGAAGGGAAAATAAATCTTTGCTTCGTGAAAATGGTGGCCATATTGATATTACTCGTGCCTGGGCACAATCATTTTTAACTAGAATGGGTTTAGTGAAACATAAAAGTGAGAGGACCGCAGGAAAAGTTGCACAAGACATCGGCAACGATAAAAGTACCTTTCTAGACAATATTAAAAAATGTGTCAGTAAATATGGTATTCCAAAGGAATTGATAATTAATTTTTCTCAGGTGCATCTCAACATTGTGCCAGTATCAAACTGGACAACCTCAATTGAAAGTTTATCTAGTCAAACAAATAAAGACTTGGAAAATTGTGAAGTAACTGCTGTTCTGGCATCGACTGCATCAGGAAAGTTGATTCCTCCATTGGTTTTGTATGGCGGTGAAACAGACATATGCTGTCCAGAATATCAGTTTCCTAACAATTGGCATGTCTCACACATAAATCATCAGTGGGATGAACAATCCATGATAGATTATGCGAAAAATGTGCTCAGACAATATATAGATAACATAAAAAAAGAACTTGGACTGTCAAGAACGCAGCAGGCTCTGATTATTTCGGATGTTTATAATTTAGATCAAGTTAACAGTATTATAAATATTCTCAATGAATGGTCCATGATACCTTTTTTTGTACCTGCTGGGTATGCTGAGGACTTACAACCCATGGATTTGGGTTTTAACAGTGAGTTTAGAAATTTAGTCCAAAACGAATTTTGCGAATGGTACGCGCATTGCATTGAAAAAGAACCAGACAGTTGTGTTAACTTAAATTTTAAGTTATTAGCTCCTTTACATGCTGGTTGGATGGTCAAAACATTCAATACTATGCATAACAACAAGGACGTGATTCTAAGTGGTTGGAAAAAAACAGGAATTTTAGAAGTTTATGATTCAGTAACTTCAACGGATTGTGGGGCAAAAGAGGCTGTGGACACTAATGAACATTCTGTTTTGGATGCTGATATTAATGTAAAGCAAGAAAAGTTTGTGACATGAGAAATTGCCAGTGGCTATTTGTTAATTATTTTGAAACCAGACTTTATCTAATTTTTTTCAAGTCCAGTTTTGTTTGGATTTGTACATTAATTGAACAAAATCACATAACATGTGATATATAAAAAATTCTACAAAAATATATCTTAGAAAAGATTATATTTTGTCATATAAACAGTGGTATAGTTATCTCTCTGATCTCCATGATCTTTATAGGCTCTATCATTCAGTCAAATATTCTACGAATATTAGTCTGGCTGGGTTGTCAACATTTGAGAATAACTAGGTCTTTAAACATACATTATGCAAGAGCTAAATCTGATAATTGCAAGTCTTTATTAAGGCTTCAGATGTCATAGAAATTATAAATTAGATCTTTATTTACACAACAAGCACAAAATCAACTCTGTAGACCCACGGATGGCTTGGATTTAAACAGGATTTCATTGATTGATTAAATTTTTAAATGGCGTCTTAAGCGGAGATTAACCGTTAATTGGACGTAATACTCCGGGAAATTTTAGATCGAGGCTGAATGATAGAGTGTACGAAGCGAGGCCGCTGTTGAGCAAGGCCGCATATGTCGGTCAATTTGATTGAAAGTTCGCTATATATGGCCTTGATATTATGTTTATTTGTGGTTAAAATGAGAGTTTGGATGTCGGTATTATACGCTCTTTTGTCACTTGCGTTTACAGAAAAATTATGGAAATTGATAAACATCGCAGCTAACATCACCCCAGTGGCAGTTGAATTTCAGCCCATGCAGACCCGTTGGATCAATGTTTCCTATTTCAATTTGTCTGCTTCGCTAGTACACGCAGGCTAACAAGATTGAAGAAGTCGGCTATAATTATACCTCATTGATTTGGTCCATTCCTTTAAAACTTTCGCTTATTATCTATATAATAAAAGTCCTATTTTTAATTTGTAGTAAAAATAAATGTGATACGAATTGAAAACGTTACTTGATAATCGAGATTATGTAGGTTGAGTTAACGCCTGTCAATCAAACGGCCTGCCTTCTCGTAGACGGTGAAGAGGGATTTGACTCCTATTTCTAGTCAAAAATTACAATGGTGATAACTTTGGTCAGAATAAAGTAATTTGACTGAAATTTTCAATATATTCTTCTTTTATCATCTATTTTTGAACTGTTATAGCAAGAATGGCCAACTCTCTATTAAAATCTCCCATAATGTATCTTTAATTAGCTAGATTATCCGTTCTTTTAATTATCATGAATTAGGGGAGACCCTAAAACAGTATGTCGATGCTGATGAAATTAATTTAAGAATGAAATTAATTTAAGAATTGCCATTTCAGAAAATCCATTTGCATTGTAAGTCCAATATCCAACAATTTTTTATTATTAACTTTCTATCTTCATATCTATGATTTTTTTAAAATTAATCCTAATAAGTCATCACGATTCATGTTTGTTTATAATAATGTTAATTATGGGATTTATTTCGGGAAGGGGCACAACTATTACTTGACCACGATATTTACTGGAAAATTAACAACATAAGAAACCAAACTCCTGGTTACATATGGAACTCTTTAGCAAATGTTGACCCAGACCCTCCCTGTGTTAAAGACTAGAAGGTTCTGGGTGATCAAGACTATGATCTTTATTTTGTACATGGACCTATATAGTGACACAGAGGTAATTATTGTGGTACAAACATCCATGCATATTTCAATATTTGGTGTAAGAATACACAATGAAACAATTTTACTACTGTTAGATTAAACAATAAAATTTATACTGGTTGTGAAATTTGTAACATTGTTTGTATGTCTTGATATGAATTACTTCCCCCTTGGTCATTACCTCATAGACATTTAGATCTAGAACTAAAATTGTTGTGAGATATATAGCCAAAGACACCTGAAACATAATGAAAAAGTTGTTAATGTATCATGAAATATCCATGTTTATTCAAAGAGTTGTTCTGTGTGTCATGAAATATCCATGATTATTGCAAAAAGTTGTGCATGCTCTAACATCAAATGTTATCTACCGATCTGTATGTAATTTATATGCCTCATTTAAATTAGTAAAAGAATCCTATTGAATTCAGCAATTTCCGTTAATTATATCTAGAGTTACGGCCCTTGTTTGACTTTGGTGAACCCTCTAATGCTAAAAATTATCATCCAATAATTTATATGCATTATTTAAATTAGTGAAACGAATAAGCCTATTGATTTTCAGCAACTTCCATTAATTACAAGAGTTATGGCTCTTGTTTTACTTTGTGAACCATCCGATCTGTATGAAATTTATATGTATTATTTAAATTAATAAAACGAAAAATTACTTCCAGAGTTAAGGCCCTTGTTTCCGTTTGTAGAACCTTGTGAACCCTCAAATGAGGAAAATTATAATCTGATGTGCATAAAATTGCCCCCAATTATCTACAAAAAAATAAATATGCGACAACTCTTGTTGACCGCATGAAGGATTTAGCTGCTATGGGCGTATGTTTCGTTTCCTGGCAACCTATCTTTATTGATTGAAACATGTAGGACTCATTTACAAAACTGCAATCTTGGCCCCAGAGATAATTTCTTTACCCTTTGTTTATCTAAGGTAAAACTTATCGGCCATTCATCAGTGTGCAATCGGGTCCTATGCTCCGCACCCAGTGGCTCCTGCTTGGCAGGATTTGTTAGAATGAAATACTGCTGATTAGATATTAATAATCCTTGGAACATTTCCCCCAGCTTGACATCAAAAGTCCATTCGAAAACAGCCGATTTGACGATTTACTGGGAACTATTTTTAGCGCACAGTGTGAGTGATTCGGCTAAATAGGTGAAATTTCTGAGTCATCATGATGGAAGAATACATCACATGACATTCAAAATGGCCGATGTATGGCCGGCGAGTTTCCCAGAGATAAACAACGGGTAAACTTATCTTTGGGAGCCGAGATTGGTAAAACTGTTGCTCAAAAAATATTTATTTGGACAGAATTGAACTTATAATTTGTACTGATGCTAATTGTATGCAATAATTTAATTATTTATATTCTAGTTGGAAACAGATTTTTTTTTTTTTAACTTTGAAACTCATCAAAAAGAAAACGTATCTGGTTGAAATTGCAAGTCACTTGCCATTGTTAATGTAGAAAGCTGTTAAATTATTTTAAGGAAGAAAACCGAACATAAACACTGTGTGGGTGGGCAAGTGGTAATTTCTCATTGTCTGCTCGCTTGGTTCATCGTTATTGTCTGCTGGCTTGATAGTGCTTATTGACTGTTGGTCATTTCTTCACTTATGACTTAGGCAACTATACTATCGTGGCTGGATTGGTTTGGGAGGAAATGTAGAGATAAGATAACCATATTGTAAGGTAAGATGATTCAAGGATTTTAATCATTATGACAAGATAAATCATACGACACAAATCATTATTTTGGCTATAGCCTTGAACACCATGCCTATAGACTTGGAGTATTTTTGGCACATCACTACAAGTACACTAGATTTTGTGGAGCGCCGAGTTTGTCCCTATCTCTAGACTGAATACAAAAACACCTGAAATTGAAATGGGCTTAATTTCCTACATTTCTGCACAGACTGGCGGCTAATAAAGACGGACTTGGCCCACTGATCTATATAATAACTGGATAGCTCATGACGCAATCAACAAATGATGTAGCTTGAAGCCACCGTCCGCCATCTTGCTACACCCAGAAGAACTGATAGTCTCTTATTTCCACTATCAGTATGCGCTTTGTTTACAAGCAAATTCGACGAAAACATTAACAACAGAACATTATATTGTGTCTAAAATATTGTTGGCGTTTTTATATTAAATAAATTCACAATGGTACAACATTGATTTTATTCTTAAAATAGTTAAAAGTGCACATTCTCATTATAATATATCGGCTGAAGGCCATGAATGATAAAATGTTTTGTTGAGGCGAACCATAGGGCCTACAGTTTGCCCGTAAATCAGATTTTTTAATTTTTACGCTGAATTTATCAATTTCTATATATACAATTGAAAATGATAAATACTAAATTATAGAGTAAGGCATGTGCTTTTGTACCAGTACCATTACTATTAATAATACTATACATACTAAATCAGTCATTGTTTGGAAAATATAAAATCATCTGACGAAAAAGAAAATGTAACTGCAAGATGCCACCCCTTGTTTTTTTAATTATAGTTTTGATTTTGGATTTTAAAAATGTTTGGAAATCAGCCAGTTGTATTCGTCCAGAATTTTCTACTATATTTCAAATATTTATGAATACTAAAATTGTATCATGTCCTTTGGTAAAAAAAAAAAGTACATAATATCTATTGACATATAGGGTCCATGATAAAATAATAAAAGTATGGCATATTACAATATTCAAATTTAAATACTGTTCAGCTAATTTTTTGTGTGCTCTTCTTTATCCTAATATGTAATTTTATAGCTTTTTCATACATACATACATACATACACACATACATACACACATCTAAACCTATATTCTACTTTCTTTTTTACATTTTAGGATCTTTATATAAATAACCCATTTTCTTTTTTTACTATTCAGTATTTTACAGAAAAAAAGGGTCAGGATATATAGAAAAGTTAATTTTATGTGGTATTACATAATATTATTATCTTCATAGTCTGTAATTCTAGAGTCTATGTATATATAAAAAGATTTACATTAAATGCCCTAGTAATTTTAGAAAAGTTTAAAGATATAGAAGTGAATTTCTTTTTACTTTTTAGGGGGGTCGTATATTTTCTTCATAGTCAACTGTAATTATGGAAACTGTATATTGTTTAATAAAAACATTTCTCTGCATTTGCCTATATCATATTTTCTTCTTTAAAAAAAAACCCTACTAATGTTATAGCCCTATATCATATTCTTTAAAAACACTACTTACATTATAGGCCTGTATCCCATTACAAATGTATCTCCTTTACAATTGACAATTCTGTGTTTTCAGTGTTAATTTCACAGAAAATAGCACAAATTCATCTTTTTTTTAAAATATACATAACTATATTTTACAAGCCTGTATCCCATATTCTTCTTTACAATTTAAAATTCTGTATTTCAATGTTAATTAAATACAAAACAGTCAAAATTATTCTTTAGGAATATATAGGCCTTACACCATTTTCTTCTTTTACTTTTGTTTTACTGTCACAGTTAATTTGAGAGGAAAAAAAAAACGCATGATGTATTGTTCAGTTAATTTTTTTACTTTCGTCTTGTGGTCAGTATAATCTGTAATTTTAGAGTTTTTTTGTTGTTTTTTTTTTAAAAAAAAGGCTATTCACATATAGGCCTATATTTGCGTCCGATTTCTAGTAATTTTAGAAAAGTTCAAAGATATATAGGACTATATATAAGTTATTTTATTGTGGGGTCTTTATATTAATAAACACCTGTCATTGCATAGGCCTATATCCATTTTTCTTTTAAAAAAAATTACTTATATTATAGGCCTATATCATATTTTTATTTTATTTTATAAAAATACTTATAGTATTGGCCTATATCCTGTTTTTTAAAACAAAAAACTACTTATATTATAGGCCTATATCACATTTTCTTCTTTACTATTTACAATGCTGTTTTTCAATGGTAATTTCAGAGAGAATAAAAGCACAAATTGATTTGTAATAAAATATAGAATTACATTATATAACTATATTTTATAGGCCTATATCCCATACAAATAGTCAAAATTTATATTTTCACAAATATATAGGCTTACATTATAAACCATTTTCGTCTTTACTTTTCTGTAATTTCACAGTCAATTTTAGTGGGGGAAAAACTAAGATTTGATGTCCAGTTAGTTATTTCTTTGGTATTGTGGACAGAATAATCTGTAATTATAAAGTCTTTATTTAAAAAAATATAGGCTATTCACATAATAAAAGAATTATAGGTCTATGTGTATATGATATGTGTCTAGCTTCTTTTATTACTTCTTTTTCACTGATGTTTAAACAAACAAAATGGAAATAGGGCCTAAATAAAAATGAACGAAATATATGCATGTACATGCATGTAACAAGAATTTTTTTTTTTTTTTTTTTTTGCTGCTATTTTGTATTCTCTTATATTTTTTGAAAAGTTTAAAGATATATTAGTTAATTGTATGATAAAAAAAACCCTTCCATAGCTTAGGCCTATATCCTTTTTTCTTCTTAAAAGACCCTTACTCATTGTATAGTCCTGCTTATATCCCATTTTCTTCTCATACTTTACAATTCTTTATTTTCACTGTTTATTCACTGTCCAAATTTATTCTTTAAAAATACATATAGGACTATATAGTATTATAGGCTAAGTCATAACTCATTGTCTTCTTTACTATTCTGTAATTGTACACTTAATTCTAGAGGAAAAAAGCCCAGGATGTAGTGATTATTCTTTTAAAAAAGGCTATTATATAGGCCAAAATATGTGTCCAATTTCTTTTTTCTTTAAATCAAAGTCAATAGCAAATAAATAAATATAAAAGAAGAAATATATATATATATATATATATAAAAAAAAGAACAGAAAACTTGAAGAACTATATTATATTAAAATACATAAATATGACTGTTGTAGTTAGCCTTATGGAAGGCCTATAAATAGCTGCATGTTTGGCCTTAATGCTTAATCTATAAAGTCGAACTGTTTTTATTTGCTTTTCTTTTCACCCGTGAATTCAGTTCTCCTTCCTTCCTCTATGATGTGAAAAGTTTCATTAAAATAATAAGACTGATTTACGTCTATTTACCATCCATGTGATCATATTTATGATGATTATGAATATGTTTATGAATGAAAAGAAAGACCAAGGCATGCCCACGTAAACGGTGATTTTCACGTTTTAGTTTATTTTATTTTCATAAACTGTCGCACATTTCATTCGGGATAACTTGCAATTAATTTTGAAAATTTATGATTATTTAAAGAACAATTAACGGTATTAATTATCGAAGTTTACCTTGAGGTAAATACAACTACGTCAACGGTAGAAACCAATGTTTTGAGAGTGGTAACATGGCGGAATTGGTACTTCCGGTAACTTCACACATCTCAGCCAATGAGCTATCCAGTTATTATATAGATCAGTGACTTGGCCTTAGTGCATGTCTAGCGGTGAGTGTGGAAGACAACTCTGCTTGGGAGAATTGGACGCAGACCACCAAAGATATTCCTAAATTAATTTTCATAGGGCTGAACACTGTCCACTGGTGTGGGTCATAAAAACTGGCATTTACTGGTAAACAACAGTAATTGGTGGTCTATTGCCAATGTATTAACAAGACTGATGTTAAATAAAGTCAAACACAATCGACTGTTGTGACTTTTGCCATTGCTTTTATATTTAGCTGGCTATTTTGATGATTTACAGCTAGACGGGAGGGGCAGATTTTATTATTGTTACTTCTGTGGTTAATGAATTCAATCCCATTGTTCTTATCTGGTTGCCTCCCATTGCTCTGTACGAATACAAGTAAAGTTATGAAATAAAGGGTTTACAATGTTATGAAATATCTTGTGTGGAGGTTCTCTGCCAGTTTTGTGAGAACAGAGTCTGTCTAATAATACAGCTTTTCACAAATTTATAGCTTGTAACTAGAGAGATGGCAAATATTAATAGTAAAGAAGACAAACCATGTACTATAGAAGAATTAATGGCAATTATAACAGCTCCAACCGGGGGATTTGTCATGCTGCCAAATACAGATTGTGATGAAGTATTTCCAGGAATTATTCTTGGAGATGGGTAAGCTTATTTTGAGATATATGTACATGAAGTTGAAAGTAACAAATCTGTAATAAATTAGCTCATACCTTTATAAAAAGAGTGGAATGCAATGGAGTTTAACACAATCAAGATGTAGAAGCAAAGATAATAGCCTTGGTCGTTCACTAAATTTTAGTCTATCAAGTTATCGAATAGATCAAATAAATGTTAATGTGAAACAAAATTAAAGCAGACTTCCAGCACCCACTATACTTTCTGTGTTTCTATCTGTATAATTGTACAGTAAAATGTAAAAAATCCACTTAAAAAACAACCAAATAAACAAAAACAGCAATATTTATTTTTTAAAAAAACACTCTGGTCAATCTAAAATTATCAATGCAAGAGGGGGAAATTTTGTGTTGGTACAGGTACATATAATATAGAATAACTCAACATTGGCTTTATCTGTCCTAATTTTCTTAAAAAAATACAGATTTGATTTTCATCCCACAAAGCAAATCAACGTACCAAATCCAATGAAATCAACTATTTTATTTTTGACAGCTTAATTGGGGCTATCCATTTTCACACCTGTTTTTCATTGCTTTAGGTTTCATTTTGGTGTTTTCTGTGTATTTTATGTTTTGGAAAAACGTATCACCTCTCATAATGGTCTAAAGGCTGTCTTCAAAGATCGAAGAGAAAAACTTATTTATTAATATTTCAATTTCCCATTTTATTTTTTCAGCACTGTAGCCAAAAGTCCCGGAACTTTAAAGAAACATGGTATTACACACATTGTAAATACAGCTCTGGGAAAGACAAAATACCACGTTAACTCAAACCACGTTATGTACAGAAAATATGATATAATTTTCAAAGGCATTGAAGCTACAGATCACATGAGCTTTGACTTAACACCATTTTTTGATTCCTGTGCTGAATTTATACATGAAGCACTTAAAAATAATGGTAAGTGTGTAAATTCAAGATGGACTGGAAACAAAAAAGGATGTGTCATGACTGCCCCTGCAAACATCTTCCAATATTAGAGATCAAAAACCCCAATTTCCATATTATTTGACACATCCGAATCGGACAATCCCATAATCTCAACCAGATCGTTCAGTCAAGTGTCATGTTTTTGACCTTGAGGGTTTTCTTCAGTTTCCTAACTCTGTTACTAAAAAGATCTCTGCTAGCCTAGCAGGCGAATTATTAAAATAAATATTTACTATTTAAATCCCAAAATGACCTAGTTCTTTTTCAGGGGAGTTAAACTGTAGCCACTGCATTAGTAATGTCTGTCATTAAAAAAACATATATGGTGCCTAATCTTAATAATACCCTATTCGACCTAGCTTCAATCCGGTGAAATCCAGTTCAATAGACCCTCATATATGAATCAAAAGTTGATGTATTTTAAACAAAATACATATTATATCCAAGACATATTGTGACCATCAAGAAAGCCATGTTCATGAAGCGATGACTGCAAGTTTTACGACATCTGCACGTTGCTAGATTACTTTGTAATTCCCATCTTATAGCTACATTTTCTCTCTTTTCTGCAGACATGTGAACAGTAGCGTCCAATCAGAAGTTGTGACACTAAGACAATCAAATCAACTATAGCGACCTCCACAGAAACCTTGACATTGAACGAACTTTGAACTTTGCAACTCGACTATCACAGGTAGACATTTTTAGCTGAAACGCGCAAGAACTGATATTCGCGATGATCAAGGAATCTAATAGGCTCACGTCAAGCTGGGTGAAAACCCTATCGAAATTAGTACCCAAATATGCAGGGTATTACATGAAGGCCTTGATAAGATTTAGGGTGTTAAAACAAGATCAAGTCTTCTATTGAAGATGCAAGTAAGCTAACTTTCTTGACATATTCAAGCTTGCCGTGGGATTTTTAATTTTATGGAAAGTAACAACCCTTGACTTAGAGTAAACCAAAACTTTGATTTATCATTTAATCTCTTTACAGGGAAAGTATATGTTCATTGTGTTCAAGGAGTGAGTCGATCAGCCACTATAACTATCGCCTATTTAATGATAAAACAACACATGACTGTAAGAGATGCCTTACGATTGGTCAGAAGTAAAAGAGAAGTGTGTCCAAATGATGGATTCTTAGAACAGTTGTGTAAGCTCAATACCAAGTTGACTATGAATGGGCATTTTAAAAAGTAGAAAATAGTTATATAGCAGTTTTAAAAAAAGGGGAATGTTTTAGGAATGTTGTTTAATAGAGTTGTGAAAGAGGATTGTAATTTGAAATATTGTGCTAATGATTGAACATATCAAACACTTACATCAGTGCTTTTTTGAAAATACGCTAATACTATGTACACCATACCATATACTTGTAAGGCACTGAATTATAAAGATCAATATGATCTGGTAACCCACAATAATATATTTAAACTGTGACTTCCAATTACCGTAAATACGTTATTATTATACATGTAGGCCTACTGTACACAGCACGAAATAGCCTACCAAGCCAGTTACATTATTTAGATCAATGTATATTGCGTACAATTACACTGGTAACCCACATTAATATATATATTATAACCAGAGACTTCCAGATATACTATTTATAACTAGTTTTATTTTTGTATGTTTTTTGAAAATCTCCATTAATGTTTGTTTGTCCGTTTGTGTGTTCAGGGTTGGTGGCGACACTAGGTCTGTCCCGAGGCAGAAATTTGGTGTATTGGGGTAGCTCAAACCAAGTAGTAACATAGACCTGGTGGCGATGGACTACCACTTCTGGAATATTATTATATATAATGTATAAATAGTCATATACAGAGAAAATACATGTACCAGTCATAATCTTATGTATATTGTATACAATTATACTGTAACCCACAATAATATGGTAACCAGAGACTTGCAGATATACTATTTAGAACTAGTTTTATTTGGGTGTGTTTTTTTAAAAAAATAAACAGTGCATGTTGGGTTTTTTTTGTTTATTTGGTTGTTTTGGGGTTTTTTTTATTTTATTATAAGTGAAATTGTTACATTTTACTGTACAATTATACAGATAGGAACACAGAAAGTGTAGTGGGTGCTGGAAGTCGGCTTTAATTTTGTTTCACATTAACATTTATTTGATCTGTTCGCTAATCCGATGGACTAAAATTTAGTGAATAACCAAGGCTACTATCTTTGCTTCCACATCTTGATTGTGTTCAACTCCATTGCATTCCATTATTTTCATAAAGGTATGAGATAATTTATTACAGATTTGTTACTTTCAACTTCATGTATATCTCAAAATAAGCTTACCCATCTCCAAGAATAATTCCTGGAAATACATGTCGTAAGCTGGTTTTATGTTTGGCCTTAAGATGGAGCCAAAACTCTGTAGTCAATCCGTAATCCATCAAATGATCTCATAATGGCTGCTTTTCGGCCAGTCTTGTTTATCCTTGGCCTTGAGCTGTTTCTGTGGCTGTAGAATATGTCAGTTACTTTCACCGTCTGTATAATTAGACTACACCACACTACAAGATATTGGCAAAACTGAAAGGTAAGTCAATCCTGACTTGTGAGCGCATGGTTAGTAATAAATGAGCAGGGCACGATGTGAAGTTATTATAAGGCCAATGTAGTATAATTATGTAATTTACGTTCTCAAACTGTCAACCTGGAGGTCACGACTAGTTTAGTTATATTGAAACAGTAAAATTCAATTATATAGTATAGATTTCTGGTTTCATTATAGCCATGAATGTAGGTTAAATGATAGGATATCACAAGTAACCAAAGTCAAACTGTTTATCATAATTGGTTCATTAATTTGTTGGCGAAATAATTAAGTGGTCCGGGCTGAATTTACAATTTTTACATATTTTGTGCTTGTGTAATTTGTTTAACCAATTACAGTAACAACAACATATTATATTTGCTTCAAACCTCCTGGCAAGGTACAACGTATAGTGGTTCGGATGGGACGAAAACCCGAGGTCGCTATACACACTGGCGGCCTGCACGTAAATAAAGCCTTGGCAGTTGAAATTCGAGAGAAGACATATGCTGTGGCGCTGCTTTCCGGACAAAATTCCCCTCATATAGCATGGCATATATGCCCGCCTTCATTATCCCAGTCGGTGCAGAAAAATAGGACATTAACGGTTAAACCTAATTCCATTTCACGAGAGAGGTTCAGTATCGAGGTCGCTGCTTTTGTTTCCGACTGGCCTGCAATGTGAACGTGTTTCAAATTTAAGAAATCGACAAGCTGCTCATTACATTTGGCATACACAGTGCACATATAACGGTAAATGTTCATGCTAAAATAATGAACACAGAAGCTGAAACGTTTACATTGAACACTTTGTGTCATTTAAACATGTCTGGTTCTTCTACCATTCAACATGTCGCCCTTGAACGTCCGACGACTCAGTGTGTAAATGTATAGGCCTACTCTTAAAAAAAAGTAGGGGATATTCAGAAACAATACAAAACAGCGGAAATGCACTGCTGTTTTTATTAGAGCCAACCAGTGTATGTTAATACCAGGCCAATTGCCTACACATGAACATAAACAGTTTATATGGGCACACATGAACATATAAACAGTTCATATGGGCGGCTTATCTGACGGGCCCATTTCACTCGCAAAGAGATACACTGTCAAAAGTGAAAATTGACGTTTTTGATTTTTGTCTTAATAATGAGTAATTGTTCCACCAATCCTCAGACATTGAGCAATTTGTCGTGGTATGCTCCTAATCAACCGCCCAATCACGATTTGGGGCAATCTGGTCCACTCCTCTTGCAGTGCCACGGCCAATTATTGTTGCAGTGTTGTCGGTTGATGTTGACGTCGACGAACACGTCTCCCGATCAAATTAAACGTAACACTAAAGCAAAGATACACTAAACAGTAAATTGTATGCAAGAACCGATTGGAAAGCAAACATGGATAGGATAAACCAGCAAGCGGCAGTTTTCATCAGCCCTTCCTTGAACTGTCAAATTTGACAATGAACCCCTCCCATGTGTATGGTGCTATTTTTTGAAGAGTATATATTACACAGTAACAGATATTTCTTTTTTCACGTTTAAGTGTTGCTGTCTTGTCTTTTTTTTTCTTGTCAGCAACACCTTTTTACTTTTCCAGGACGATTGGAGATAACATGGACGAAATAAATGATGGTCACCATTTCAACACAACAGAGTTTATGAAATATTTGGTTAAAAACCTCCAAGTTCTCTGTCATGGTCATGTTCCCTTTACCCAGAATTTAGAGGTTATAGGTCATATCTATATCAAAGTAGACTGTTCTGCGAAATTCAACTGTTTTTTGAACGAGGTGGTGTCGAAGACAGATTCTTGCGAGACTTTGTTTACCAGTAACAGTTTTCAAGCACAATCTCAAACAAAAAATAACAATAGAACAGTTATTAACAATTTGAAAACCGATGTTGAAAAGCGTTTTAAAGACAGTCCATCTGCCACAGAATGCCGTTCAACAAAGGAATACGTATGCATGCCAGTATTATTAACAGACGAAACAGCGGGACACCCTTCAGTATCGCCAAAAGAAAATACGTGTTTATTGGAGGAAAATGCTCAAAATACATCGAAAATGTCACCTGCAGAAAATACCTTGAATTTAGAGACGGCAAAAACGTGCAATTCATTACCATCAACAATCACGTGTAGATCCTCGTCAGATAACGGAAATGTATGTAATTCGCCCTCATTGGGCCTAACAAATGAAACTACCCATATTTCGCCACTGCCAACTGAAGCAAATATATCGAATCCAACACGATATGGGAATATTTGGAATTCATTGTCAATTGTGAACTCGTCTCCATCGACCCAAGACGATAACAAGGAGTCGTGGGATCCGTCTGTGGTAACCACGCAAAATACACCTAGTTCATCTTCGTGGTCGTTGTCTAAGAAAGGCATGGTCGGAACTATTAAAGAAGATGACGTACAGTATACACCACCAACAACAAAAGAAAATACGCTAACTATGCCAACTGATAGTAGTGTCATGCAGAACTCGTCTATTTACGATGATTTTTCTCCTAAGATAATCGATATACGGTCAGCTGGTCAAAATTCGGACAAAGACACTGCCATTAGTATTACAGATTTACAAACAACTGGTATACTTTCTAAAAATCCCAAACATTGTACCTTTGTAATTAAAAATGGCCCGCTTTTAGAAACTAATTTATCCCCATTAAATACATGGAATAATTCCACCCCTTCTGTATTGAATTCTCCTTCGACAGCCCAGGTAAATTCTTGCAATGTATCATCATCTGGGAGCAACCGGTTATCATCATCAGAGGAACACATGCATACTTCATCTACACTAACAAAAGAAATTATCCCAGATGTTGAGGATATTAAGATAAACAATGCAAATAAATGGAATGTTATTACCTCCTCAGGCTATGAACAAATCTCGCCTAAAATAGTCGATATCAGATCAGACCTTCCGAATGACGCTAACTCACTAAACATTCCTTATGATTTAGACAAAGGATATGCCCCAGTTATTAATGTAATTGAACATAATGTATCGAGTTCAGCTAATCGGGGTGAAGAAGACCCAAAAACGACTTCACATTCCCCAGTGCCGTTGCATACCGCAGCCAGTGAAAGCTTAAGATGTTTGAGGTCTAGTCACAAACAAACAGTTGACAGACCAAATAAAATGAAATCTCCTGGAAGGACTGGAATTATACCTAATTATAATAGCCCCGTCACGAGTGAAAAATCACGGTGTTCAGTAAAAGATGAATCCGACAAATCGCTCAATAATAACTCAACGGTTGTTAAATTTGCAAAATCAGATGATCCAATATTACAATATAAAAAGGAATTCAAAACAGAAACAATCCAGACTTCAGGTAAGCACCTGTTCAAAGCTGTAAGTCGTAGTCGGGACGTCGTATATAAGTCAAGTTGAAACGCTTTAAAACATAATGGGGGAAGATAATTTCATTTGCCAAGTCAAGTGAGATTAATTTAACAGCACAGGCACCTGAAGGGATTAAAATAAAACTTCTTACTACTGCTTGACTATATATTATAGTACATGTATATAATATGCAGTCAAGCAGTAGTAATATATAAGCAGTAGTAAGATGTTTTATTTTAATCCCTTCAAGTGCCTGTGTTTAACAGTAAAGAAGAAAGACACACCCTTCATAATGTTTGATATGACGAAGGTATCGAAGTTTGGAGAATGCTTCAAGGAGCAAAATCTGTCTGAATGTTCTCTTGGAGAAAGTTTTAACGGTTTTCAATTTGTGTCATATTTTTCGGTGGCACTGTTCGGCACTGTTAAAAATCTTTCCTATGTCCAATTCCACCGCTACTTAATATTAAAAATAATCACAATGGTATTTATTTTCGACTAATCAACAAATAGCATACAGACAATTTATTCTCTTTTTTTTTCAGATTCTGCTAATGATGATATAGTTGAACAAACATTGAGTGATTCTATCAACTTAAAACACAACATTGAAGCACTCCATTATACAGAAGGACAAACATTGAGTGATTCAATCAACTTATTACACAACATTGAAACACTCCACAAAGCTGAAGAACATGCATTAAGTGGTTCAATCAACCTATTACACAAGATTAAACCTGAGGAATATACATTGAGTGATTCAATCAACTTATTACACAACGTTGAAACACCTCACGATACTGAAGAACAAACATTGAGTGATTCAATTAACTTATTACACAACATTGAAACACCTCACGATACTGAAGAAGAAACATTGAGTGATTCAATTAACTTACACAACATTGAAACACCTCACGAAGCTGAAGAACAAACACTGGGTGATTCAATAAGCTCACGTCACATCACTGAAACACCTCGCGAAGCTGGAGAACATACATTGAGTGATTCAATCAACTTAGTACACAACACTGAAACACCCTACGAAACTGATGAGCATACATTGAGTGATTCAATCAATTTGTTACACAAAATTGGAACACCTCACAAAGCTAATGAACATACATTTGGAGATTTAATCAACTTAATACACAACACTGAAACACCTCACGAAGCTGAAGAGCATACATTGAGCGATTCAACCAATTTATTACACAACATTGAAACACTTCACGAAGTTGAAGAATCTTCAAATATTATCCAAGAAAATATTAATAAACTGGACAGAATATCTAAAGGTATATCTTAATTGTACGGTTATAAACATATAGCGTTCCAAAGAGTTTGAGCAATTTCTCAAAACTATTTAAAAGAGATTAAAATATCGGTGTTTTGTTAATAATATCTATTTTCGTCTCGGTATGCCATCGGTTCTTTCATCCACAATTAAGTGTACTTCGAATAGGAAAATGGATGATAATCATTTTCTATTTTTTGAACAAACATCTTTTATTTCAAAATGTTTATATTTATAAATTTAGTAATTTTATCTTTTATTTTTCACGATCGAATACTTATGTCCTTTTAATAGATGACGATTATACAGTCCTAAATATTAATTATAACTTCTATTACTCTTTGTGTTAATTCAAATAGACCAGCTTTTATCGATACATTACTAAATCCTTTAAAAGTATACTTTATTTTTAGAATTATCTTTTATCCATGATGATGATGACAGTGTGGATGACCCTTGTTATAAAGCAACTACAAGTTCGGATGAATATTGTGATAGTGACGATTCCCAGATAAATCGCTTAACCAGAAAACGTAAGCGGTTATCAAAGCCAACCAATGGCAAGGCACTCCTGTCACAAAACAAGAAAATGAAAGCGAGAAACCGGATGCCGGCTTCCAATCGAAAAGCCATGGCGGAGTCATCGACTATACCTACTGTCCAATCTGCTACGGAATCGATTAAAGATGGCCCGGTCATACCAACGGAAACTTGCTCGAAAACCCCTGTGTCTGAGAATTCAGTAAAATCCATTCCGAAAAAGAGCTCGACCAAAACCAAAAGAAAGAAAAAGATGGCATTCCATGAAACACCCGATACTGATACTCGCCGATATGCTTCCATAAACAATGGCCACCGTGCTTCATATTGCGCTAGTGATAAGCTAAAGATAATACTGTATGCCGATTTCCATGGTAACCGAGCAGCGGGAAGGAAATATGGCATAGCGGAAAGTAATGTCAGACGATGGAAACAAGCAAGAGAAGAATTGCTAGCCATGGGTCCTAATAAGTTATCTAACAGACGATGTCCCCCTTATTACCCTACTATTGAAAAACAGCTAGCTGAATGGGTACAGAGTAAACAGGAATCGGGTGTTTACCCCTCAATATCTGAGATATGTTCAAATGCCTTAGTGATAGCTGAAGGTCAAAATTGTGGGAGAGGACCTTTTAAGGCCTCTTACAGTTGGGCAACAAGATTTTTGGACCGTCATAAACTCCGTAAGAACATTCGTAGATATAAGAAAATATCACAGGACTCCGCGAACGATGGCGAGGAGGAGGATCTGGGTAACGCTACGGAGGATCTGAATGACTCGTTCTATGGAGATGAAGATTTAGAAGCCAGCATGAAAGAAATTATGAAAATATTGAACGATGACGACGAGGATGTAGAATTTGATGGATTTACTGAAGAAGACTTGTCATAGTGAGCTGGATGCCTTTGAGTGTGGGTACTAGTTCACGTTATGATTTGTGGAGCATACTAGTCTAATAATTTCTATTTTTAAACTTAGAATTCAAAATAAAAAGTATTTTTGAACAGTTTTAATTTTTTCTGAATTAACAAAAATTGTTATTGTATATCGGCGCCGCCTATTTCAGCCCGTCTGCCGTCCACTAATTCTTGGGAACACTCATCAGAGATTTGCCTTTCGTCTATTGTATATTTACATTGTGAGATGAAGAATCCAATTGCATTTCAGCGCTTTAAGAAAGTTTAAGTTAAACATACATTATGCAAGAGCTAAATCTGCCTATTGCAGGTCTTTCTTTAGGCCTGAAATGTTATCTAAATATTAAATAGACATTGATTAACTTATCCAGACCATAATCAACTCTCGTTGGCATCGTTGACTGACATTTTCAGCAAATTGCCTTTACATTAGCTAGTTTTTAACTATTATAGTTAATCTAATCTCCCATCTTTAATAACTTCTATAGTTATTGCCCCTTATCACTTTGAACATTCAATCCACAAATGTTATCACCCGCCCTGTATGAAATTTATATGGATTGTTCAGATTAGTGAGGTCTATAGAATTTAACAATTTCAAGTAACATCTGGGGTTATTACCATTAACCTCGTTCTCAAACTTCTAAACACTACTAGCAAAATTTGAACTCTTTGTTTTGATTCATGCTATTCGTGTAAAAGCAATCCTTCGAAGTTGGAAATCGTTGAAGAAATGGTAGAAAAGCCACTGTCCAAGCACAGGTAATGATTATAAAAAATAACCATTGTATCACCATTGTTTTCAATAGAAATTGACTAATTACTCAGTTGACACTTAATCCGCACATCTACTAGATGCGTGAAAAATTAATCATAAAATAATCGCATCCAGTTCCTCGCTAAGAATAATATCTAAAGTAAAAAAAAGTCTTTACATGAAATATAGAAGAAGCGATTAGCGTCCTGTTTTGTTGCCCCACCCGGGCTAATGAAGTGCACATAGGGGAAATTGTGACCGTACAGCGGCACTATATGCCTAATATTAAGGACAATACGCCTACTTTTATTTTCGAATTCCATGATCTCACGGGATCCCTGTTTTTCGTATCACCCGCACTAGTATGCGAGGAACTGTCGCGGCAAACAATAAGCACTATAGGGCTACTTTTATTTCGAATTCAATGATCTCACGGGATCACTGTTTTTCGTATCACCCGAACGTGTATGCGAGGTGCAGGATAGTGAATCGGCGCCTTACCCGCTGAGCCACCACACCTCCGATCTTTTAAAGACATCCCATATTCATGTGCGGTAATTTTGACGTAAAAGTTGACTGCGAATTCTTTTAACATTTTGACTATTTCAGATATGAATATGAAGGTTTGGAACATATTTTTAGTCATTTGGGGAAAAGTAGTCTTCCGCTTGACACCAGGCTGTCAATATGGTGTTTCTTTTTGTATTAATATTGAACAAAAACTATCAGAGTTTTACCATTAACATGGTAAAGATGACAGTGTTCAGTATTTAAAAGTTAGCTGTTTTGGTCGAAAATGAATCTTTAAAATAGGAAAAACAGTAATCTATGAATCGGTTAGGAAATATCCTTTCTTTGGAAAACTTCGATAAAAAACTTTTGACGTCTTTTAATTATGACGTCACAATAGGTAACACGTCATCTTATTGTTCTACCATTGAGCTATTTTATCTGCTAAGAGAAAGACGCTCTGTGATAATTTTCTGAAATTAATTACATTTTCTACGTTTTTGTGAATCCAGATAGGAAAGTATAACATCAACTATGACTGTATTGTAAGTATATTTAATTATATTGTAAAGAATTCTAAAAATTAAAAAAACAAACGTTAAAAACTCACATTTTCGTAGTCGAGCTGAGAACCTGTAAAAGCAAATAGATAAACTGGTTTTCTCTGTTCTAAGTTTTGAATAAGGTTTTTGCTTTTTCAAATTAAAGAAGTTTGAACCATAAAGAGTGTTTTACTTTCTCTTACGTCTACTTTTATTTTGTATTATATTTATTCCAGAGAAATACCAGACTATATTGATAGTAGTTTAGACTATGGTGATCTATTAAGTCAGATGATATATGATGATAATAACATGTTTGTTATATTAACTGATGAAGATTTGGACAACTCTAAAGTTAATACTTCTAGTAAGTCTAACACTTTACTAGTCAACTCTAATAAATACTTCTAGTAAGTCTAACGCGTTACTAATCAACCCTACCGTTATTACTTCTAGTAAGTCTTAACACTTTTACGGTCTCCGTTTACATTACATTAAGACCAAAATCAGCTTGCGGTTGATTAAATCGCACAAATAAAATGGTTGGAATTCTTAATTTATTGAATGGACCGAGGTCCTAACGTCTTGTTGTCGACTTATCGTTTGACACGAACATACGGGATTTTGTATTTATATATATATGTGTGTTGAATACGGTGATGGGGAAGGGATTGGCGGCGTTTTGGCCTACTCCTTGTTTCCAACTGCCAAGCAATATTGTTATGCGCAATACCAAACTATGTACGAAGACCTTTGTTTTACGTAGGCCTACTTTACTTGGTTGATGTAGAGGATTTGAACATTTATTTATTATATAGGGTCAATTATTTATTTGTCTTTTACAGTCTTATTTTCATATCTTACAATGTTTTCACTTTTTCAGTTGTATCTTACTATAAGAAATCCAACCAAGGATACGAGAAGATTTGTGAACTGAAAGTTCCAAGATCACCTATATCATCAGCATCAGTATCATGCACTGAAGATACTAAGAAATTGGACAAAGAATTAAGCGACACTTTTCAGCTGAACTTAAACCAAAACCAACATTATTCAGTGGTCAACTGGGCTGACGAAGTCTCATATGAAGAACCAACAAATATTCCATATTGGGCATTGATACCTGGATTAGATTTTGATCACCATGCTAAAGATAATTGCTCCACCACAGACAATATTGATGACTTCAACCAAATTCACCATCAGTATGTTATTAACTGGGCTGACGAACCTATGTATGATGGACCCGTAGATGTTCCTGACTGGGCCTTGATAGCTGGATTGGATTTTAATGGACATGCTAAAGATGGTTATTCTAGAAGACATTGTTCTACCACAGAAAATATTGATGAGTTCAAACAATTTCACCATCAATATATTATCAACTGGGCTGAAGAACCTGTGTATGATGGACCCGTAGATGTCCCTGACTGGGCATTGATTCCAGGATTAGATTACGACCGTGATATCTATTCTATCGCCCAAGAAAATATTGAAGAATGTGACCCAATTTACCATACATATGTCATTAACTGGGCTGAAGAACCTGTGTATGAAGGAGCCGTAGACATTCCTAGCTGGGCTTTGATTCCTGATTTTAAAATTAATGTCACTACTAAAATCAGCCAAGTAGGACCTGCTCAAGTATCAGGTTTAGATAGTGAATCTTAAGAAAATTTGACAAAAGCTTCTGTTAATTGGGCTGATGATCTTTCTGAAGATGAACCCGTTGATATACCAGAATGGGCGATGAACAGAAACTTGCATTTTAACAGACAAAGAATCAACGCCAAATCATATTTTATTGATGTTGTATCTGGTTTATCTACTATTTGGGAATAATATGTTAGTGAGAGTTGCATCAACTGTGAATTCAACTGTATGTTTGTGGAAGTCGCATCAAGTGTGAATTCAACTGTATGTATGTGAGAGTTGTAGTAAGCTTGAATTCAACTGTATGTTTGTGAGAGTTGTAGTAAGCTTGAATTCAACTGTATGTTTGTGAGAGAGTTGCTTCAATTTAATTCTGAATTCAAATGTATGTTTGTGAGAGTTGCATCAAGCGTGAATTCGACTGTATGTTGTGCGAGAGTTGCTTCAATTTAATTTTAAATTCAACAGTATGTTTGTGAATAAGAATAGGATATGGCTGTTTTAAGTGTGAATATATATATGAATAAGAATTGGCGGAAGTTGTTGTTGAGTGTTAATTTAACCGTTATATTTGCCAATAAGCGTGTTTGAAAGTTGTTTTAGGTGCTAATTCAAATATATATATATGTTGTTTGTGTCGTATGAATTAAAGTACCAGTCACGGCTGATTTTTGATGAATGGACAAAGAATTATTTTATTATTATTGAAATAGAGAGTGATACGGAGAGGGGGAACTTTTCTTTTTAAGGAAGTGGGGGAGGGGGGTGTTAATGTATTTATTTGTTATCATTTTGGAATAATATTTACAATACTTTATCTTTTACTTTATATACAGTAATCTATACAAGAATTTTGAATTTTGTAATAAAACTTATAGTTTTTCTTAGGTTATATACGCTTATTTTTGGCCATATTTATACAAGATTACAGTTTTTACATGTTTTTTAATTTTGTAATAAAAATCCTAATTTATAATGTGTGTTATATCTGTTGTATATAAACAGGTGTTATAAATGAATGGTTTGTGTGACATGTACACTGTCAATGTGTGTATTTGTTGAATATAAATAGGTGGTATAAATGAATATCCAATCCTATAATTCTAACAAAGTCTACAGCCAATTTTCCCAATATGTGGTTTGGATGGTGGACAGGTTATGGCCCCTTTACTAAACGGAGAGGCAAAAAGCTGATGTAAGCGCAAAGAAAAAGGATTCAGGGACTGATATTAGTTCTGTTTAAAAGGAATGTAGCTCCACACACACACACACACCTCCATTGTGTGGATTATCTTAGAATGTAGAAATAGTTTAGGTATAATATCAACATCTCATCTATGCGCTTAGTCCATTATACTGTTAATTTCAGTACACTAAACTCTACGCCTATAGTTTTTATAACAATTTTCTCCTAAAGATACTGATATGTTAATTTAACGCTATTGGGGATGGGGTTCGTGATTGCAAATTACTATTTTGGTATTTCGAAATAGACGTGGATATTTTACTTATTGTACTATATAAATCGTTTTCTAGCCATGCTTCCGAAGCTCCGAACCCAGCATTATAAAACTGAAACCGTTACTCTAAAGATGGATTCCCTCGAAAGTAGTTATATATTATAT